CAGGAATGAATCAAAGAATACATCTTATTATTCAGTGACTTGGTAAAACTGGTGTTACATTGCTCAGAAGTAGTGACAATATGTTTTACAACCTGCTTTTGTAAGTTGACTTATCTGAACACCCTTTTAAAAATAAAATTAGCATCATAGACCTCTAGTACAATTAGTTCGTGGGAACTCTGCCAAATATGTCAGGTAGGTCCCACAAAATCCCAAATGTCACAAGATTCAACATAATCCAGCAAGCACGAACCAAACTTAATATCGAAGAATATGAAACACCTGCCAACACTCAACTGCCAGGACTTGATGTTCTCTCCATCAGACAAGTGGACCCTTTGTGTGTGTCCCTCCCCACACACAGGCTGAAGCCTAAGTGGGGTCCCATTTCTGGGACCGGAGTCAGAGTAAGTGGATCACTGGCCCCATGACCCAGCCATTTCAGATGTGAAAATTTTAACACTGACATTTCAAGGGCCCACAAAGAGATGGAATGCCTTATGCTTTGGTTTTATTTTGAATCACAAGAGAAACGTTTTTAATAAACCCTTAAATTCTTCTCCATTAATGTGATTTAGATAATGAATTCATAAAGATTGAATTGATTTGTTTACATACTCAGCCTTAGAAAAATTACATTCTTGTTTGTTTGTGTACACCATCAAATCCAATCAAGCAAACAAGATGGTTAACTGAAATGATTAATGGATGCACACTAGCTGATGGCTTTAAATATAGAGTGTGTTACTGATGTCAGGGTTGATTAGTTCTCTATCTATCACTGATGCTATTAAAAGCTTTGAGCAATTTAAATGTAGTCATTGAGTAAAATTCCAATGGGCTGAGTAAACTTCTATCAGGATTGATTCTGCTGTAGCAAATTTACATATGCACAGGCGTTGGAGAGCCTGAGCGGGCCTTTCCTGATGGGGAGAAAAAAAGAACAGAAATCAGGTGGCCTGCTGGCATCCGTCACAACAAAGGTAAAGGGGCTTGGGATAAAAAAGTACTCATCCTCACACAAGAAATCCCAAGTGACATGAGGCTATGCATATTGATCATTTCTATTTCAGAACTTTTCAGAGCAGGAAAAATAAATGAAGGGGAAGCAAGAGGTTAACATAGTATCATGCTCTAGTAACTCCTTTAAAAATGAACCCACAGGGAAATCATGGTAGTCAGTGGTGGAGACCAAGGTCTTTATTAATAAGATAAAAGGAAAATGTGGTACAAGCAAGGGTGGGGTGAGTACTGATAGTCACTGCATGGAATGATTATGTGTCATGAGTACTTCCAGACCTAGAAAGCAAGCTAGAGTGACTACGTCAATCATTGTGAAGGGAGGTCCAGTCCTGGGATACTGCAGCTGAACTTGGGGAGATCAGGTTGGTGAAGGAAGCTGTGACTTTAGAAAGGCTTGCTATGGGACATTAGACCATTCCCAATGTCTATACTTATTGGTCCAAATGTCTAAAGATATTTTAAATGGGAGGGAAAACATTACTTTCTGGACTGAAATTCTCTGGATATTGAGATTCCTTTCCTGTCCAGGGTGTTAGCAGGTCAGACCTGAGCTAGAAGGTTCCTGCCATTATTCATGCAGCTGAGCCACCTCTAGGAAAAAGGCAGCAAACAATTTGGATCCTTCTATGTAGTTCCACCTAATGAGAGAAGTAAGAGAAACACTGTTATTTCCATTCAAATGATGGAGGAAAACTAGTCTACAATGTGAACAGAAAGATTTGAGGATATCAACTCAATCTAATGTATGCAGCATGTCAGGAGGTTCTGATGTACAGACCTGGAGTTGGGCAGTGAGGGTGTAGCCCCCACAAGAGCCTACCTGTTGATTTTCTCATTCTGAGAGTGCTCCCCATCGTCAACAGCACCCAACGGAAGCATCAGCACACTCTTCTGGATAATATCCTGGAATATTTTGGCAATTGGTATGGTTGATCCATCCCGGATCATATCTGGCTCTGTTCCAAACACTGAAACAGGAAAAGAAGGCATTTGAATAACATAATGACAAGACTATGCCCAGTAATCACCATTACATTTGGTGCATGGGGTAAGTAAGCTTCTCGCTATCATGCAATTTATATTCTAAAATAGTCAGTAGTATCAAGAAGAAAACTGTGATTGCCTTCTTTACAACTATGTACATAAAAAGATAATTTCAAAAATTTGTATTTTGAAGTAATTTCAGACTTATAGAAAGTTGCAAAAGTGGTACAGTTCCCAGGTGCCCTTAACACTTCTTCCCCTAACATTAATAACTTATATACCTATTGTGCAGTTATCAAGAATAGGAAATTAAAATTGGAATAATATTATTAACCAGACTCTGACCTTATTGGAATGTCATCACAGGGAAGAGCTGGGGTGGGGATTCCCCGTTTTCTGTGCCATGATCCCATCCAGAATCCCACACTGAATTTGTCACTGCTTCTTCATCTCCTCTAGTCTGTGACAGCTTCTTAGTCTTTCCTTGTCTTTCATGACCTTGACCCTCTTGAACAGTACTGATCGGTTGTTGTGTAAGCTGTTCTTTAATTTGGGTATGTCTGTTTTCTCATAACTGGAAGATGTCATGCATTTTTGGGAAGAGCAGCACAGATGTACCTACTTTTATGGTTGTTTCATGAATTAAATATTAGGAAAGTGGGACTTAGTGTTTCTGTGTTTTGTTTTTTTTGTAACCAATCTATATATATAAAAGCCTAAGTGACTGTCCGACTGTTTGACCATTTGCTCAGTCGCTCTGATGTGCAATGACTACCAGGGGGCAGAAGTTCCAACCAGTAGAGGAGGGAGTCCGATTCCTCGCGGAATTGGCCATGAGTTAGGTTGATGCTGGGGCACTGTCAGCCCCGAATCTGCTTCAACCTGCACCCCAAGACCCAGAGATCGGTTTCAGCCCAATCCCTGCAGACCAGGCCAAGGGACCCCACCAGTGCACGAATCCATGCACCAGGTCTCTAGTATATAAATAAATCACTATAGTCAACTATCACATGACTATCTAAATATTTGTACTCAGATTTCAATGTATCCCATGAAATAGTTTAATGGTCTAAGATCTAGAAAGAGATGGGTTCAAACCTTCCGGGTGAGAAGACAAGTTGCCAGTGATGGAGTGGGAATGAAAAATAAAACAACGACAGAAAAGAGAACATGCCACGTGGTCTTTATCCACAAAGCAAGGCATGAATGTGAACAATGTTGATGTACTTGGTGGTTTATTACACAAATAGACCAAAAGGTGACTCCTGCATTCCTGTAAGAGCATCTCAGGTCTTTATCGTTGACCTTGACATGTCAATCACACATCTCTCTTCAGCTGGCATTACATTTACCTGCCTGACTTATCGTCCTCTTTTCCTCACTCCCAAATTTTACTGGTAAAATACTGCTGCACCTGGAGGCATTGTAATGGGGCTTCTCCTCCAATTTTTCATGCCTGCGTCCCTGGTCCTGACAACCCTCACAGAGAGTTGGTCCTCCCAGGAGGTCTGGACCTCAAACTCCAGCTCTGGCATCTTCAGGGGCATGGCCTAAGGCCCCATCTGTAATACAGTAGTTCTTCCTATCCATGGCTGCACTTTCTGTAGTCTCAGTTACCCATGGTCAACCACAACCAGAAATAGACAATGCCTACATCACTTGCCCCACTTCATCTCATCACGTAAGTATTTTGTCATTCCCATCATCACAAGAAGGGTAAGTACAGTATAAGATGTTCTGAGAGATCACATTGACAAGACAGTGTATATAAAGGCCCCTGCACAGGTCACACTCGGTAATACAGCCTGTGTCAGAAGGACGGTCAATATTGGGAGATTTAAATGTGTCTGCTTTATCCACATCTCCCACCCTCGGGTACTACCCCTCAGTCCCACTGGATACTGGAAACTTGAAATATCTTAAGTCCAACCTGTTTTGATGGCTCTTTTTGCTGCAAGATACTGATGATCTTTAATATCTGCGATCCACGGGTGCAGTCCCAGCACCATGGAAACATCCATCTGGTTGGAACTATTTCTTTGGGAGAATATATACTGGAGATGCTGTTGCACCTAAAAAGTAATGTTTTCAATTGTAAGAGAAAATTTCTAGTTATTCCCTCAGACAATGACTATAGTCTTCCATCAAGAAACTTGGAAACCCCAACCCAGCAAGTCCAAGGGTTGTGCTCTGACCTTGGTTCTGCCTGGGGGATGATGACACAGTGAGCAGGTCTCTAGGACGGAGCTTCACCCAATGGGAGAAACACTTGCCCTCACCCTCTTCTATCCCCAGTCCCTCCCCTCCCCATCCTGACCACAGTGTCTGACTGTTAATATTTGCTTGTTATGAATTTGGTGACTGAGACCTTGAATAATATTATGGACAACATGAATAATATGAACATTATGAATGTTGAGTGATTATGTAACATAATACAAGTATAACTTCTCAATTTAAAAATCCTTCTTTTTGGACTTAGTTTGAGAACAATCCCACACTGAGCTGGGAAAGGGCCTGTTAGCATCCTTTTCTGCCCCTGGATATGTTGCTACTGTGGAAATCCTCTAAAGAAAAACTCCATAGCCTGAGATATTTCTTCCATTCATTCCTTCAACTAACATTTATAGAACACCTGTCATGTGGCAAAGAACTGTTCTAGGTGCTGGAGGTATAGCTGTGAGCAAGATGGACAAGGTCCTGCCCTCAGGGAATGAGGGTTGTGAGAATAGGGAAGGGGAGAAGGAGGAAGGAGAGGCAGTTAGGGAGGGGACCCTACTTCAGAATGTTATTATCACTTAGAAGACAGTAACAGGAATGTGGGGTAGAGAGGGTTGGGATGAGGTATTTCTTGAGCTCATTTGTTCAGAGTTTACTTGCTGTTAAACTTGAAGTTTACTGATAACAGGTGGATAATGTAGACATACAAGTCCCTCCAGATAACATTTTCATTAAAATGGCTCCTATCAGAGTGTTCATTTCAGACATGTGGACAAGCAATGGGCACTTGAGATTTTCTGGCTCCATCCAGCTGTCGAAGTTAGCTTCTTCATCTGTGCACAAAACCAATCTTGCCTTTATAGCTACCATTTAATTCTTTAAATTTTTCCATCACTCCAACTCCAAATGATTATTTATCTGACTACTGTAATTGCAATATAATCGAGAAAAGAGATTTTTAGCAAACAAAAAATGTATCTTTTTTTTTTACATGTTTTGCAGTCCCTTGCATATTCAAAAAATATGGTACTTCAGTGCCAACACCTGCACTGCTCCCTCCACAGGGGTGCACGGCTCTTGGGAGGGTGTTGCCAGGCAGAACCATGCAGGTTTCTTACCTGTTTTTCCACCACAGATGTATTCATGTGAGGGACCAGGCGGATGGAAAATTTTCCTATAACTCGGCCAGGTATGACTGTTTTAGTTCCGGGCTCATCGAATGCGCCCTCGATCCCATGGATGGAAAGAGAAGGGTACCTCCATAGGTGCATCAGAATTTCCTCCTGAATTAAAATAAAGTTATTTTATTATGTACAAGAAAGACTGATTAAAATCAGTTCAGTTAGATTGCTTACATTACCAGTTTCTGTACATCAGCGACACCGTTCATGATAAGTTCATTACCACCCTGCTTGGCTACGTCTGGACTAATAACACAAGTGACCTCTCCCTCAGGACATGAGGTCCTGTGCGGCTGTCACCTCCCCAAGTAACTCCTATGGCCAAGGCCCCTCGTCACCGGAGCTCTTAAGTTTCCAATTAATAGATGGCAAAGGGGCCCTTTCAGAAATTTGAGTTCAGTTATAAATTTCCATCCCCAGTCATGCAGTGACAACTTGCATGTAAATGCCTTTGATTTTTCAGGCATCCGAGCCGTTTCCTTTATGGCTGTGGCCACCTAGACCTCTTCAGAGGAAACAGACCCCGCCTCATAGTAAACTCCGCCCCTACGTCCAGCAGGGCTCCTCCCTCTCGGGATCCCTCTCGGGCCTCTCTGGCATCCCACCCGCCCCCGCCCAGGGAAGGAGCCAAGCGCCCACACTCCACAGCAGGAGGAGGTGGCAAGGGAAAAAAAGCCCGTATTTGTCCTTAACAACGCCTCTGCCTCTGGGCTTACTCACTACACTGAGGCAGCGATGCAGCCATTTACAGAGGAGCCCTAAGGCTCTTGGTTTTGTCTAGAAAAATGAACAGTGAGGGGTCTTAGAGCTGAACAATTGCAGGCTGTTCTCACTCTTTGAACGAATAGGAAGCCCAGCTCGTTGGGATTGAGTCTAGTAAAGGGATTAGGAAAGGCTGGGCTGTGAAAGGAAGCTCTGTGGTTATGGTTCCCAGATAAAGATCTGGATCTAGACCAGCGGTTCTCAACCTGGGGGTCGAACGACCCTTTCACAGGGGTAGCCTAAGGAAAACACATATATAATTACATATTGTTTTTGTGATTAATCACTATCCTTTAATTATGTTCAATTTGTAACGATGAAATTGGGGTCACCACAACATGAGGAATTGTATTAAAGGGTGGCGGCATTAGGAAGGCTGAGAACCACTGGTCTAGACCATGACAAGCCTCAGAATTAACTGCTGTCAGTTCTAAGATGCGGAGATGAGCAGCACTCAGACCAGGCGGTGGGAAAAGTGGTTTAGTGTCGTCATTCCTTTCAGAGAGCCGTCAGCTGGGGGCTGTACCTTGGTGTTGAACAGGAATTTCTTAACCCGGCTGCTGTTCCGGTATTCTTCTAGCTCCAGGTCGATGGCGCCGTACAGGTCTTTCTCCTCTTCTGTGAGAGGAGCCACTTGGTCATAAATCCCAGGGATCAGAATGTGACCAGCAGAGTCCGTGAGGCTACCTACAGGACACACAGGAAACAAAGCCAGACAGAGGTTCCGCTGGGCTGATGCTCAGGCCCTGCAGCGGGACCACAGCGACTCCCCTGGGGCAGCAGCAGGCCTGTCTGGCTCTGGTTCCCACAGCAGAGCCAGTGGCAGCAGTTCACATCCTAGAGGGGATGGTCCAGGGAGGAGGTCACCAGGCCGACTCAGCCTGTGTTAGACCTGCTTTAATGTCTATCTTGTGGATGGAAGGATGAAAACATGGATTTTCAATCAATTAAATGGGGTTTGACTCACCTGCATTACATTCAAGTTCCCAACTCTACCTGTTATAGCATAAACATAAAAACTTTTAAAAGTTTTATCGTATCCTGAGTTAAGAAGTAATGTATTCATTATAAAAGTGTTTAGATATACATGTGTATGTATGTACACAATACTTCAAGAAACTGAAAATCATCATTCCTTCTCAACTTCTCTCCCCTCCACACATAATAATATAATAAATACTCATCATTAATCAAAAGCATAATATTGGGGTCTAATCTGTGAGATCCATCAGGATCATGAATGCCTTTGTGATGATAAGCAGTCAATGGGCTGTTATTTATGAAAGACTTTGAGGATTAATAGAAATCAGGGAAATCGTCAAAGAATATCTATAAAAGAAGCAGACTTGAGATTTAGTAGATATTGCTCTCTATTTCGAGAAAGTACTTACCAAAGATACAATGCAATCAGTAAGTAGAGAACATAAATGATAAAAAACATCTCTGGGCAGCAAAATCTAGGGACTTTTATTCAAGTAAAGACACTTCATAAAACGATGTCCACATTCCTAATGTGATTATAACCTGACAATTCCAGAAAATTACTGTGAGGCACTACATTTTTAAATCTTTCCATTAAGGTCGACAATCACAAAGCACATGGTAAAGAAATAGTTGTGGGTCCACAGGCAGCTCTATCCTTGCATGGGAGGATGTCAGCAGAAGTTTGGGGATGTTCATTAAAGGGACACTGAGCCGAAACCGGTTTGGCTCAGTGGATAGAGCGTCGGCCTGCGGACTGAAGGGTCCCAGGTTCGATTCCGGTCAAGGGCATGTACCTGGGTTGCGGGCACATCCCCAATGGGGATGTGCAGGAGGCAGCTGATCGATGTTTCTCTCTCATCAATGTTTCTGACTCTCTCTCTCTCTCTCTCCCTTCCTCTCTGTAAAAAATCAATAAAATATATATTTTTTTAAAAAAAATAAATAAATAAAAATAAAGGGACACTGAGTGAGTCTACTGTTGGTGGTGGATTTATCTTCTGCTTTGACTTTGGTGAGGGTGACTGCAAATCAATGACAGCCAGTCCCACTCACTCAATGCCCAACTTAATGTTTAACTTCAACTTTACTACTGGGTTTGTATCATTACCTTAACATACTATACTGTATTGGGCTAAATGAGGGCGTTCCATAACTCAGGCCATGGATGCTGTGCAGCAATCTGCAGTACTATACCCCTAGTGCAGTGACACATTCTGGGTGAAGTCCTGGGGGACAAGGGGAGGGGCTGAGGAGGATGTGGTTGAAAACCAGAACAGTGACATCTTCCCTTCACGTTTTGCTCCTGACATCTCAACCCTCAGGCCTTGCTTTTTGTGATCCTCTTAAAGTGCTGGGAATGCCATTACACGTTGCACTACTGCCATCCATGTAGATTTTCATAGGGGGTTGTCCTTGGCTTAATTAGAGCCAAGCCACCTGTTGGTCCACTCATGTGGGTTCACACTTGTTATTTAGTCTCATGTGGTCAGAGACAGTGCCCTCATTCGTGGAAGGTGGGTCTGTGTATGGTCACATCCCAGCATTCACCGGGTGCTGGAACACAGCAGGTGCCCAATGACTAGGTTTAATGCATCAGTCCTCGAGAGCCTTCAACCCTGAGTCCTTCCATACACAGCAGATGAAAACCACATGGTGGGCACAATCCAGAATCACTTTGTTACGGATTGTTTCAAAATTTAAAAAAGGGAAAACCTTTTATTTTCATTCCATTTGTGACCCTCATCTGACTTTTCCTAGCAGATCAATATACATTTGTGGGGGCTAAATGGACTTCTATGCCTGGGTGAAACCATGCAGGCTAGACAGATGGAGAGCAGCAATCATGTCTGGGGAGTGGGGGAGGGGGGAGGAGAAGGAGATTGAAATGCATTATATAGATATGAAGGTGCTCCTCCTAGGGATGAAAAAAAATTAGTTCTGGTAAAATAGAGAACTGACCTTCGCCCACCCTCAAATAATAAGTTGCATGCTATCTGAATCCTTCTGGAAACAATTTAAACACTTGAAAAAAAATGGCTTGTTGTATTCTGTCTTAAATTGCCAAGCAAGCATGTTGTAAAATTTGTAAATAAAGGTGCCCTTGTGCCATGTGAGGCAGACCCCATTATTGTGAGGCCTGAACTTATGTAGCCTGAGAACCTCTGTTTGAAAAGAACACCAACATTCAAACACAAAAGAGCAACATCCCTGACAGGACTGCGGAAGGGGCTCCTTCAAGCAAAGCCCCTGAAGATGAAGCTTCCTTCAGTTCCCAGAGATCCACCCCAGCTGCTGGGCAATCCTGATATAGGCAAGAGCCACAGGGTAAATCGAGGTGGGCAAATGGGCTCTCAGGGGAACACCACACACACACCCCTAACTTGGCTTGCGCACACCAGGTATCCACAGGAGGTCAGAAGCAGGTGTGATCAGCAAACTCATTGGAGTCTCTGTACAACCTGGGGCCACAGCAACGTGGAAAAATGAAGCCAAGTGGTGCCAGGATATTTGGCATCATTCTGAGAGCCTCCCAGAAGGCTCTCGATGCTATGCCATTGTCTTTGCGTATGGCCAGATGTGTCACAGTAGCCAGTAAAAGAAAAGGGACAAATTCAGGAAGAGGTTCAGTCCATGAAAAAAAGTAACATGGACTTAATAAGCCCAAGGAATATTTAACCAACCGGGGATGCTAAGAATATGTTTTTTCTTCTAATGCACCTCTATTTAGAGCTGGCTTGGACCAGGGAAGGAGAGACACATTGGGTCATATAGAACTATATTTTAGTAGATTGCTTGATGTCGAAAAAGTGAAATGAAATAAGACGTTACCGAGAAGAGCCACCAAATCAGCCATTGGCTCATGAAGGATGCCACCAAAGGTGCCTGAATGAAAATCTTGATCTCTGCATGTCACCTATAAGACAGGTAGAAGAGAAAACAGGTGCTAACACTGTCGTTGCTATAGCTGTAGCTTTCACATGGTGGGAAACACGCCCAACCAGTGTCCCTCAGGACTCAGGTGAGCACCCTGACATCGCTCCTCCTCCTGTCCAGTCACATGGCTCCCATGTCTTCTTTCCCCATGTGTCCTGAATCCCTGAGACTGACTAACCCCCACCGATTCCACAAACACAGCTCTATCCAACATCACCACACTATTGGTGGCTACGTTATCATCTTCCTCTTGGTTTCACCCCATTCTGTTGCTCACCTTCCTTCCAGGAAAATTCTCCTCCTGTGGTTTCTGAGCAAGTTTCTCCTCTGTATTCTTTTATTGCCTGCAGGATAGTTAATGTCTCCCCTCGTAACTTCTCTTCTGTCTCCCACACCCACCACTTATTCTGGGGCACATTCTTCCTCTACACACAGAGCCCCAAGAACTAGCTCACTGGGCTTCATTCAGAGCCCCACACTCCTACATGTTCACACCCATATGTCTGATCCCCCTGATGTGCTACTACTTTCTGAAATTCAGGTCTAGAAGTCAACTCAACACCTTCTGCTACGATGACTTCCTACCAACTTTCTCATTTCCAAAACAAGGAGAGTCCCGAGTCCCGTTAATCTGCCACCTTAAAATTATCTTGGATTCCTCCTGTGCACACCATATCCAATCTGTTACCAAGGTCCAGTGAGGTATTTTTTTTTAAATTGTCTCTTCAATTCAGCCCCTCCCATCATTCCTGCCCAGCTGGTCTTTCTCTGCCCGGTGCACTTTTAAGGTGCGGCCAGGAATGTTTCCTCTTTCCTGTCCCACTGGGTTTCCACAGGGTGCAGATTATTAGTGTCCACATTGTCACATGAGAAAACAGACTAAAGTGGCTGAATAACAGACGATTTCCCAGGAGGGACTCTCTGATTCTGAGTCGTGTGCCCTGTCCCAGGCTGTCTGTATTGATGGAACAGGAGAAGGAAGCAGACTAGCTGTCACATTTAGCCATCACACAACCCTAGGGGTTTATGGAAGGGTTTGCTGTGCTCACTTTAGAGGTAAGGACACCAGCACTTGGAAGGTAAAGGGCCTACACAGGCTGTATGTGCATCACTGAGCCAGACTGGGATGCAGGCCTCGCAATGCCAGTGCCCCTGGTCTTCCAACCCAGACCTGGCAGACAGGCCCCATGGATTAGGTACTGTTGCCCTCCCAGGAGCCCCACCACCTGATCAGTAGGCTCTTACCACTGCCCCCTCCCCCCTAGGGGGACTGCTGCGCCTGCCTCCAAATTCCACTTTCCACAGCTGCAGTCCCTAAATCTCTTGGCTTGTGAGTCACAAGCCCTCTGAATCCTGTCTGTAGAAAGATGCACAATTCACAGGCTCACAGTGGGGGCTTCATGAACCCCTCACCCCTCCCAGAATTTCCCAGAGGCAGGCAAGCATCCTGGGAGAACTCTGTGCTCTCACACAGCTTTATCTCTGTCCCTCCCAGACCCCAGGGTGGCTTCCTCCCAGCAGGCCACCAGGGTTTGCAGATACCTCCACCGCGAAGTAGCTGTTCCCTCGAGTTCCGTAAATGAGTGCTGGCCTCCTCTGGCTCAGCCACAGGTTATCGGAAATCACAATGTAGTCCACGCTGGAAAAGAACCTGTCCTTCTCTCTCTTGACAAGTTCCTCCAGGGCCACAGAGCCGGCTTCTTCCATTCCTTCAATGATCACCTTGATGTTCACGGGGAGATCCTGAGCGAACAAGTCAAAAGTTGGACAAACCAATCTGTCAAAAACCGCAGAGTCACCCACTCACCTTGTAAGACCCAGGGATAGTGTATATTTAACATAAGTACAGTAATTATCACATGTGTTCAATATGTGAATTATTCACATTCCCAACATCTCTGTTACAGCAAAGAAGTTTCAACAAAGGTTGTGAAGGAGAGTCCAAGGTAATGCCCAGTGTACACATTCCAGTGTGGCCCACCAATTTAATGTTGATGAAGGATCTGGGGAAGGAATTCCTAAAAGCAGTGACATCCACACCACAGAGCTCTGTGGGGCTGCCCCAGACAGAGGCGCTTTCTTCCTTCTTCCCAAAAGGAATTTTTCAAGAAAGGTTACGCCATTACAAATCTCCTTTCTGTACTCATAACTCTGAGCCTGATAAACGAGAACTCTTTCCTTTGAAAGATTGGCTAATATTTAAGCCCTAGGATAATTTTTATTTCGAGTGTCTGTTATTTTTCAACTATGAGTTCAATCTGCCTTTTAACTTATTCAAAGGCTTTGATCATGCAGCAGAATGGAACATGAGTTTTTTTCCAGTTAATATTAGGGCTCGGAATCACTCCTTTAAAATTTTTACAATGTTCCCTTTCCCCATTTGGTTTTGATCTTATTGTATCTCTATAATTTATAACTTCCTATCTCTGAGAGCCACATGAAGAGGAGAGGTCAAAGTCTCTTCCTGGAGCAGAAGACACATGTAGGAGACTCTAAAAGTGATTATACGCAGACAAACGGCAGCACATACATACTAATTAGCTCTAATGAGCAGGACCGACTGGCCAAAAATGAACAAAGGCAGGATGAGCAGAGGATTATGTATTAGAAAATGTGACCTTCCGCCATTCTGTTGGTTAATGTGGGGATAATGATTTGTTCAAATGTATCATGTGTGTACATTTCTATGTGTCTTAGGAAGTCAAGCTACAGTTCTGAAATCTTAATATTCAAAAGCTCTTTATTAACACATGACTGAGAAGTAGTTGGAAAGCCTAAGATTTTCTGGCAAAAGGTGATTAATAAAATCCAAGCCAATGGCTACTAAGTGTTGGAGGCTGGGGGCTTTGGTCTCTGCTCTGTCCCTTTGCACCCAAGGGACCTGCACAAGCTATTCCACCTCCAGGCAGCTCACTTGTCTCCCTGTGCGGTATGGTCACGGACAGCCGATCTGGCTCTGGGTGAGACGGTCCAGTGAGGTGACACACGGTTAGTGATCTGCACACGATACAGGAAAAAGGGGGTGAGAGGGCGGAGGGCAGGAGGGCACCAGGAAAGAAGCCAGCACTCATAGGGCCCAGCACTCATAGGCACTGGAGTCCCTTGACTGTTACTTTGTTTAGTCGTCTCAATGCCCCGAGGGAGAAGTGATCATTCCTACCTCACAGATGAGGAAAAAAGAGGCTTAGAGAGAATTAACTGGCTTATGTTGTTTATAATTATGTAAGCTTCAGAGTTGAAATTTAAAAGCAAAGCAGATTTTGGCCTTTTTATAGGAATTTTCATATAAATATTGCTTCCCTCCTCTTAAGAAAGAAGGGGGGGAGGGGAGGAGAAAGGAAGGAGACAGAAGAAGAAAGTCCAGGGAGAGAATTCTAGACAGAGAGGAAGAGAGGGGAGAAACCAAGGCCACATTAAACTTTCAGGCTGACCAATGTGAGTGTCAAGATCACAAGGCAATGTTTCAGTGGTCGAAAGACCTACCAGAAACCTATCCTGACTCAAACTCTCTTTCTTAGTGAGGTACAGCAGCTGAGTCCAGAGCAGTCACATGCCCTCTCCCCTTCTGCTTATGTCTGGGAGAAAAGAAACTCATGAAAGAGGAGCCCAATGAAATCTCCTCCAGGGGAAGGATTTGGGAGCAAGGGGTGCCATCAAAGATCTAAGCCTTGGGCCTGGACTGGAACGGCTTCTGGGCCTGAGCACTGCTTCCCTGCTTCTTCCTAAAAGAGGCTGGATGGAGGCCAGCATGCAGGAACCCTGACCTTGAAGCTCCTTCTTCAATTTCCAGTGAACAGCGGTACTTGGTTCAGGGAAGTCATGTGAAGGAGAAGGTGGCTGGCTATGTATCCTTAAGGTTAGCCCCATAAAGTCCTCGGAGGGAGCCAAGGGCCAACACCCTTGTCTTTACAGGACAGGATCTGAGGCCCAGAGAGGCCAGGACCTGCCCAGGGCCACACAGATCGACTCCTCTGTTTGGAGCCTAAGCGCATTCATCAGAAGAAGGGAGGGTGGTGTGAGATGAGACCACTCTTGTGAGAACATCAGGTGGGACAGTAAAAGACTCAAACCTGGGCCACCAACATATCCTCTGATGGCCCTAGAGAGGCAGCCCCCTACCTTTCCAGTACCTGTATGGCACACCTATGAAAACTACATTTCACAAGAATGGAGAGGCCTAAAGATTCAAATAGGATGTCACATGCCAGGGATCTCTATCTTGATCATTGATAAAAATAGCTGATGTGTTGTTTTAAAGTGTATGTTTGTCTCTTTTAATAAAATCAAACTTTGTGATAAGAAGGAGGAGGAGATAAAAAATACAAGTTAAAGTAAGATAAAGGTGAAAAAAGTAAGTCCCAGTGAGAGTAACTTAGCCACAAGCTCATCATACTTTTTGTTATGTGTTTGTTTGTTTTTTCCATTTGGTCAGCAGCACAGGCTCAAGGTACCATGTTTGCCCCAGACCAGCTGGGCAGCTTTGAGCAAGTTCCCTGACCGTCCCAAGTTCCACTCTCCTCATCTATAAAATGGGTGTGATTATCAGAGTACAGCCCTATGAAGACTGTTGGGAAGAGGAAAGGACAAAATTCAGGTGAAAGCTTGCAGCACAGTGAGGGACTCAAAGCATACTGCCTGTGCCATCATCATCATCATCATCATTGTCACTGTCACTATCACCGTCATTGTCAGTCATCATCATCGAGCTCCCTCCCCAACACCACTGGCTACTTACTTCCTCCAGGGCTCGGAATGCGCTCATAGCATTAATCCACGCCAAAACAGGCCCTTTGTTGTCTGTCGCTCCTCGTCCATAAAGTTTTCCTTGAAAAATAAGGGAAGAATTTTCAGAAAAGCATGGGTACCTCTGCCAAGTTGAGTGAGTTAAAAACAAACGTTGTTTTATGGGTAATTGCTTGAACAGGGCTTTCTGCTTCCAAGAACAAATCTTGCACTGAAATTGCAAAGTATGATTTCTTATGTATAGACAGTATGGCCACTAGCTAGACAGAAATGTAAGCTCACTTGAAATATACTGATCCAAATGAGGTATTTTATCCAAATTCATGGAAAAGGGCCTGCAGATTTGTTATAGATGGTCATGTAACACAGCCTCTCATTCTGAGATGTTACAACTAGATGTTACAACTAGTACCTGTGGCTCCATTAACCTTTCTTCTTCTGTTCTTTAAAAATAAATTACAGTTGGTAATTTTAAAAGGAAAACGTTTGGCCAAGAACACTGTTTTCCTCACAGCCCAAGGACTCCAGCCTGCGGCACTCATTCACCCATGGGCAGAAAGGTTCAAAGTTTCTTTCCCAAATGAAAGAAAATTGGCCACATTGGACCAACTTGTAGACCATGAGAGTGGCATTTAGTTCATTCTTAACAACAGGTTAGACCTGGAGCCAGGGATGGGGGGGCCGTCCTAAATCCTTAACCCTGTGAGCAACCCTTATCCACAGCGGCACCAGGTCTGCGCACCAGCACGTCACTAACCATCCACTTCCGTCAGCGTGTAAGGGTCAGTGAGCCACCCATCGGCCTGTGTGGCCGGCTGCACGTCCAGGTGGCCGTAGAAGCACACGGTGGGTTTCCCTGGCTCATTCCCCAGCTCAGCCAGGATGACAGGAGGTATCGGGAGAGTCTGGCCATCAGGCAGCTGCAGGAGGACAATGGATAGCAGTTTTAAATAAATGCTGTTTAGTTCTTCCTGACAATTCAAAGACATGATGTTAGGAGTCCTGCTTCTACCCCTGGGTCCTGGCAGAGCCCATATAATTTTCTGATCAACCTTTATCCAGCTCTAACATGGTACCACAAGACACTTTTAATTAAAACATGAAGCATAATTAAAGCGAAGCACTTTCTCAGATATACATTGATAAACAGGAAACTTAGTTGAGCATGCTCTTCAATAGGAACTCAGACTCAACTACCTTGAATTGGGTGTCGGAAATAAACCGTTGGGAGACTTTCAATGCTAAGCCAGGCAGCACTGGGCGCTAAGATTTAAGATCGCCATTTGTGACTGAGGGGCAGTAACAGGCAGTGATTCTGATGAGAGGCTGGAGCCTCAGAAAGATGCCTCAGAGCTTGGGGAAGTTTGCAGCTTGCATGCAGGGTGTGAACAGCACGGGGGCCTCTCCTGAATGGGTCACCTTCGTTCACCTCCTTGTGTTCCCTCCCACCCCCATCCAAGTCCCGACACGATGAGAAATCAACATGGCAACCTCGTTTGGGACGAGGAGGAATTCTTCATCCTTATTGGGTTACTATGGGTGTTTGTATTGAGGATCTTGCCACCACCACAGGAGGGCGTGACCAATGCACAGGGAAGTGGCAGCTCATGGGGGAGGGAGGGACCGCCAGCACCTGCTGAGAGCCCAAGTCCTTGAGGTCCACGCTGGCCCCCAGGCGCCGGAGCTCCTCTGCGACCAGGGCCATCATCCTGAAGAGCTCTTGTCGGAGGCGAGGCACAGGTTGAACGGAGTCACTCTCAATGGCCACCCACTCCTTCAGCCTCTGTGAGGACAGGCGACAGGGTGATTAGCATGACAGCACAGGAGGCACAGAATCCCAATGTCCTTCATTTGACCTTGATATTCAAAAGTCACTGGCCAACCTGAAGACGTAATCAGGAACATAGAAGCCAGAGCTGGCTGGGTCAGAAGAATGGGGCAGGGCAGGTTGGGTGGAAGGCTGTTCCCCCAAACACCGGGCCTGTGCCCCTGTGGGTTCACCAGGGTTATTAAGAAGGGCAGATCCTGACCCACCCTTTCTGGCTTTTAGCACTAAGAGGCTGGCCAGCCATGCCCCCCCAGGACTGGCTTCCCACAATGCCCTGAAGGCCTCTGGGCCTCACAGAGCACCCAACTTGATCCCCCGATGGCTTCAGCAGGCTGCAGGGCTCCTTGGCATCATCCTTAGCACTTAGGTTTTGTGGTCAGCCCTGCCTGCTCCTCCAGGACCCTCAGGGCGGCAGGCAGCCTTAGCTCCTAACCCTGGTCTGCCCATCAGAGTTGGACTTGGAGAATATTCCGTACACTTTCTCAGCCTCAGCTTTCTCGTCTCAGGTTACGGTGACTATGAGGTTGCGATGACTATGAGGTTGCGATACAATGGGAAATACATTCTTTTGTCTTTATCTCACCTGTTGGCCAGAGCTTCTGAAACTTTCACAACTTCCTAAGCAATGGAGGTGCCAGGGTCATCTTCAGTTCTAATATTTACTCTCGTATTTACTCAGGTTCCTAACACAGAGCTCCTAACTCTGCTGGAATTTCCTGGGCGAGAACAGCATATTTTGTTGTAATGGGGCGACTATGGGTGGCTCCCAGTGGGGAGGGGTCACCAGAAAGTCTGAGCTGTGATGAGAGGTCTTGAACTTTCAGCCCCAGCCCACCACGTCTGGAGGGAAGAGGGCTGGACACCAAGTTAATATTCATCATGCCATGTGATGAGGCCTCCCTAACATCCTGATTGCTCGTGGTGTGGGCGCAGAAGTGAATGAAGTAGCAGAAGAAAACACGCTTTCCCTTCAGGGAGGACTCAGGGCGAGATGGTGCCTGGAGACTTAGCTCGATGCCGGCCCCAGGGGTGCTCAGGGAAGGCCAGCCAGCATGGAGTTACAATAATAATCAGGCGCATCCCAGTGTTGAAACGTGAGGGGTTTATCCCGGGACAGCAGTCTCACCAGACACCACTCGTGTCTTAGTGACTAACCCTGGACTCCCCAGTTTATTCCAATTGGATCTTATCCTGGCTGTAGCACCCCAATACACACAGCCCCCCCCCCAAGCACTAATTCCGACCTACATGGGAACCCCCACTTGGGTTTTGAAAATACAGTGGGAAGCAGGGTAAGTTAATACTCCCATGGTTGGCAGGGTCCGTGAAGGTCAGGCTTAGGAAAGCAGCTGGACTCTCAGCATTGTGCTTTAGCACCAAACACAGAGGTTTCACATCTAAGCACAATAAGGGTCCTAACATTGACTGGTTGATCAAATAACCACACACTGAACACGTGTGCGGACATAACATGGGCACGCAGGGCGCAGAGTTAGCGAAAGCTCAGGGAGTTGGGGCTGCGGTGGAGGCCTGGCCTGAGGGGGACAGAGAAGTGAGGAAGGAGAAGGACTTGCAGGGAAGACTGAGTCCAGCCCTTTCCTGCTTCCCTCCCAGGCCTCCTTCCCATCTCCCGCCCCCACGTGATGAGATAGGAAGAAAGCAGAGGGTTGCCAAGGAGAAGAAGGTAAGTGTGGATCACATGGACTACAAAGCAACAGCTCTGACACTGAACTTGGCAGAACTCTGGACTGGGAGCTGCTGCAGCCGGGAGGTGTTACTCTGGGCTGGTGTTCTTGGGAGGTGAGTTTCAGCCAGGAGAGGGCCTCAGCGAGGGGACAGCGGCCACCTGAGGATGGTTCCCAGTAAACGTGAGCTCAACATTTGCCACGACTCCAAGACAGCCCCCTAGAGCAGTGGTTCTCAACCTTCCTAATGCCGAGACCCTTTAATACAGCGCCTCATGTTGTGGTGACCCCCAACCATCCAATGATTTTCGTTGCTACTTCATAACTGTAATTTTGCTACTTTTATGAATCGTAATGTAAATATCTGATATGCTATATGTGTTTTCCGATGGTCGCGACCCACAGGTTGAGAACCGCTGCCCTAGAGCAAGTGTGCTGGAAAGGAATAGACACCCCTTTCCAGAGGAATGGTTGGGAGAGGTCTCTTCCCTCAATCCAACAAATAGTCACGACTTTAATTCAATGAAGAATCACAGGCATTTTAAATGGAATTAAGTTGTCAGGCAAAAATCCCCACATCTCCCAGCAAACCACCATTCACCCGGACACCAAAAGGGATCTCATGCAAGTGTCCCGCCTGAAGTTTCTCCAACCTGCACAAATTCATCCTGATGGAGATCCATGTACCGGAAGACCTTCTCGACCAGCCCGGCGTGGGGTGAGGATGGAGAAGACATGCCTCCCAAAAGCAGCAGCAGAAGAGCAAGGAGAGCTGACGCCTGTGGGCAGGCACAGGGGAGGAAGCAAAGTAAGTACCAGGGTTTGGACTTTCAGCCTTGCCAACACTTCAAGAAGTCTGTTCTCCGACACAGCTGCGTGCAGTCACTCAGGCTAAAATAAGACCAGGTAGTAGAATAGGAAATCTATGTTGTGCTCCGTTTCCCCAAGCGCTTCCTTTTCAGTGCTAAAGGATTGTGATCAGACAGAAAGCAAGCCGACAAGCTTGTCTGGACGCAGCTTTCCTCAGCCTGTTCCTGTGATCGTCTTTCCCGTTGGTTGACTTCCCCTTACGTCAAACCACACACATCTGGTGTGAAGGGCAATGTTTCTGAGAGAGAAGTGTGACGTAATTTTTAAAATAATAAAATTTGTACGTGTGATTAGCCACTCTATTAGATAGTGATGGCGAAGCTATGACACGCGTGTCAGAGGTGACATGCGAACTCATTTTTTTGGTTGATTTTTCTTTGTTAAATGGCATTTAAATATATAAAATGAATATCAAAACTATAAGTCTTTGTTTTACTATGGTTGCAAAGATCAAAAAATGTCTATATGTGACACGGCACCAGAGTTAAGTTAGGGATTTTCAAAATGCTGACACGCCGAGCTCAAAAGGTTCGCCATCACTGGCCTAGAATCTCGGGCAGCGTGCGGGTTTCCTCCGTCAGCTCCTGAGGCTCGAGCACTTTAAAAAGAAACATAAAAGCACAGTGTGATAAGTAACATGGAAGAACTAAAGATAATTTAGACGCTGTTGGCCACATTCCCCGCCTGGGGTCCCCTGGTCCACGACTCGCTCCCCTTTCCTCCCACCTCTCTGGCCTATGCTTCCCTCCCTGATGGTCCCTTTCCTCCCCTGGCTTATAAATGTGAGACTTGTCCATGACCCCAACCTTTGCCCTCCGCTTCCCCCTCCTCCCCACACCCTCTTCCTACTCATCCCTCAATCTGAATATACTAAAAACCATTGAATTGCACACTTTATTTATTTATTTTTAAATATATTTTATTGATTTTTTACAGGGAGGAAGGGAGAGAGATAGAGAGTTAGAAACATCGATGAGAGAGAAACATCGATCAGCTGCCTCCTGCACATCTCCTACTGGGGATGTGCCCGCAACCAAGGTACATGCCCTTGACCGGAATCGAACCTGGGACCTTTCAGTCCGCAGGCCGACGCTCTATCCACTGAGCCAAACCGGTTTCGGCAGAATTGCACACTTTAAATTGTAAGTTCCGTGAATTACATTGCAATATGGTCATTATAAAAATAATAACTATAAATATGAACACTTGTTCAAAAGTATAAATATAGTATTGAATATGAAAAATGTCTCTAAAGGAAGCTAAGAAGTGGGTAAATTCCAGGTAAAAGTGAACCCTGCTCATGCATAAGCGGGTTAAGAATTTGGTCCAAAAGATGGCGCCAATGAGCCGCCCTTGAGCATCCTTGGCCTCATTCTGATCTGAATGAGGCTGGATCCAGCTAAACTCTAGGGGTTAGGGTTAGGGGCTGCAAAAACATCAGGAGGAAAGGACTCTTGAAGCTCTGGATGCCTGGGAAAGGCTCTTTGAAATGGCGTAAGCTATTTTTTGTAGGCAATCCATATAAATTAATATGTGAGTTGCTACTTTTATTTTTCATGCATTCAATTTCCACTAAAAAAAATGACTTGGTGCTCCTCTCCAATGAAAACTAAAATGGGGCAATTTGAAGAAAAGAAATCCACAAGAAAAGAAGGAAAACAGCAATTTTAAGGAGAAAGAATGGTTCGTATTTCAGCGGGAGCCCCCACCCCCACCCCAACAGGAAGGGCACATGCAGGGCCCAGCTTCCTGAAGGATTGTCCCCGGTGGTGGGTCCTCACACTGGGTCTGCAGGACTGCACTTCCCCATAGTGCCTGCAGAGTGGACTGAGCACCTGTGTCCCTTTGCCGCAGAGATGGGCTGTGGACACAGATCCTGCCTGTGAGATCCTGGGTGGGTCCCCGCATTGCATACATACTCACTTCCCCAGCCTCCCACACCCCTTTCTCTTTTCTTGGGTTACAGTCACACGTGACTTAGAATTACTGGTAATTGCACACCAGCAACCTGGAGACTGAGAAGGGTTATTCCTGGCAGAGGTGCTGGAGGACAGGAAGGTGAAGGGGGCAGGGAGAGCTGGAGGCCCGGTCCTAGTGTTATCTTGGCGGAGAAGGTAACCCAGCCCAGCTAGAGAAGCCCACCTTCGGGACTCTCACAGAGGAACCCGCCATAAATGGTTAACCAGTTGTCTCAGCACCATTTGCTTAATAGCCATTCATCCTTTTCCAATTTAATTGAGTATCCCCCAATAAGATTCTGTTAATTCCAACTCATTGCTCTTAGATTTGTAACAAAAGCCCTAAGTGCCCCTGCACTAAGCCTTATTTTGAAATACTATAACTTTTAAGACTTTCTGAAGGCGTGTCCACATCCTCTGTGGTGGACCCACCCCCACCCCGTCCTTCTCCCAGTCAATTCAGCTTCAAACCCAAAAGCCTCTCCTCCCACAGGGCTGGCCTTGGGGTCTCCTCCTCTCCTAGCTCTCACCAACAACCAGGACAGTTAGATGGTCTGTGTGCTTAGCTGACGGTGGCCTTGACATCGTCATGGGCTGCCTGAGCCAATGACACTTAGGACACTTCTATCTCCTGCCCTGAAACCAACAGGCATCCGACAAGAGGCTGGGTGGGGTGTGCTGTCCCTCCCACACCATTTGCTGCTGAGCAGAATAAAGAATCCAAATGAAAGCCTTCCTGCCTCCCCTCACTGAGCCTCGGCGAGCCCTGTTCCCTGTTCCTCCCGTACACTGTAGCCAAACCCTTTTCTGCCTCTGAGAAACTTTGTGCTGGGTGAACTTGGATGCCAAGACCCCACTTACCAAGTCACCTAGAGTCCCATGGGATTGCTTTACGAAGGTGCTCTGCCCGGGACTGAGCTGATGGGTTTGTTATAACGCAGGAAACATGCCTTATTGGTTTATCTCACCATGCGGGGATTAAAAATAAAACCCGAACCTCCCCTCCCCCCAACAGCCTTTCTGGATTCTGTTAATTCCCCCGCAGAGCTGGGCTGAACCAAGCATTCCTGAGCAGATGAAATCTGGCAGCCAGTCTTGAAGAGGGAGTGGTCAAGGCGTGGCTTTTGGAGGGCAGTCTGGACAGTTTCCAGCAATAGAATTCCCCAGAAAGTCCCAAGTGCTAGGAGTTTCTCCACCATCCTCTAGTCAGGGTCTGACCGGCAGTCTGACCCAAAAGAAGAGCTTAGCTCAGGCTCACTCCTAAACCCAAGGTGAAGCCCACCCCACAGGTACAGATGGCTGGAGACAGACATCACCGGATAAAGAGGTGCAGGAGGAGTCCCGCACAGTCCTGGGTGCAGGTAGGGCTCGGAATCAAGCTCAGCTCGCACTGACCGCTGGCTTGGTGTCCCCTGGCCTGGAGCTTCAGGCTGGACACAGGCACAGAGCACTGCCCTGTGCAGCAGGAGCCAGAGGTCGTGCATGCACAGCATCCGGCCCTTCGAGGACCCTGCTTGGATGGTGGGCCATCCTAGGGGCAGCCAGCTGGTCTGAGGACCATGCCCCTGACTGCACAGGTGCAGGCCAGTAGAAAGCAGCAATGCCAGCATGTGTCACCTAGAAAGGACTCTTGAGATCCTTTTGCTTCCCTCCAGACTGGCCAGTGATCTGGGTTTCCCCAGACTCTGCCCTGGTTCTGCACCACCTCCGGAGCCTACTGTCATCTGCAAACATGACAATCCTAACCAAAAAAGAATAAGTGATGCCCAGCCGGTGTGGCTCAATGGTTGAGTGTCAACCTATGAACCAGGAGGTCATGGTTAGATTCCTGGTCAGGGCCCATGCCTGGCTTGCAGGCTCTATTCCCAGTGGGGGCCATGCAGATGGCAGCTGATCAATGATTCTCTCTCCAGTTATCCCAAGGTCAGAGGGCTCTAGACCCAAAACTGTAATTTAGATAACATGCCTAAGTTTAACCCAGGTTACCCAAGGGCTCTAGATAATGTGTTTATAACATGCTGTTTCTGCTTCTGTAAACTACTTTTTGCAAACTAGTTTCCTTATTCCAGACCCGAGGGCTCTAGATAATGTATTTCTGTCAATTCAGTGACCCCGAGACCCAAAACTATACTTAACATGCTGCTTCTGCTTCTGTAAACTGCTTTTTTGCAAACCAGGTTCCTCATTCCAAACCTTGAGATGTAATCAATACCTTTGTGATTTTTTGCCTATATAACCCTGGGGCTGCGACCATCTGGTTACTACGAGATTTGGGAAAGCAAAATGGCCCCTCATAGTCCCAGATTGCAATAAATGTGACTCTTTAATTCGACTTCTTGAGGCGTCCTTCTGTGACTTGCGGGGTACATTACAACAGAGTCTCTTAAAAAAAAAAAAAAGAACAACAACACCTAACCATCCTTTAAAAAAAAAAGTGACATGGCCCGACGTGCCTGTTGCTTCTCCCACAGGCAGGTCTCTAACTGCGGTGAAGTCACATAGAGAGGTGTCACCACGGAGCTGAACCCTGAGCTCCTCCAAGGCCTGCGTTGTCTTTGGCTTTGAGCCTGGGACAGGGCACACGCTTTCCTTTCGAGGGGTGAGAGGTGTGAACCCCAAACTATAGATGGGGTGCAGACCCTGGAGTCAAGACCCAGGGCCAGCTCAAGGTCTTCTAACCATGCTTGGGCCACAGACACTGCCTTTGCTTCCTTCTTTTAAATCTCATTTGTGTGATTTGGGTGTAAAAGTGTTAGCAGGATAAACCTAAGATGCCTGCAGGGGTGGCCGAGTGATCTTGGGGACAACAGGTAAAATCAGGTGGCAAAACAACAGAGAGGCCATGGAGAGTGGGGGGAGGGGCAAGGCAACAGGAACTGAGTGGCAGAGGGCCTGGAGACATGGGACAGAGGATGGGTGGCGGGGAGAGGACAGTAAGAGAGGAATTGGTGGGCAGAGTTCTGCGGGCTGGTCCAGCTCCCTCCCTCCTTCTGGTGGTGGCCGGTGGTCCTGGGTGCTCCCTGGCCCAGAGCTGCATTGCTGAGATCTGTGCCCCGGTTCACCCGGCCTAGTCCTGTGTGTGTCCCTGTGTCCTCTCTTCTTCTTAGAAGGTCACCACCAGTTTCTGGATTATGGAGTACTCCAATCCAGTACAACCTCATTTTAACTAATTATATCTGCAAAGACCCTGCTTGCGAGTCAGCTCAGGTTCCGAGGCTCCACGTGGACATGTATTTTGGGAGCATCATTCCCCCAGCACAACCTGCTCTTTATTTCCTTGTCGTTACTAATATTCTATTATTTGTTCACTTAATATTCTCTGCCTCACTCGAACTTAAGCTGGATCATGGCTAGGCCGTGTTCTCCATATTCCCACATCCTGAGAGTTGCCTTCCCAGTGGTCGGCAAACTGCGGCTCGCGAGCCACATGCGGCAATTTGGCCCCTTGAGCGTGGCCACGAAGTTTCAATCGCACTGTACGTGCACACCCGCACGTGGTATTTTGTGGAAGAGCTACACTCAAGGGGCCGCAGTTTGCCGACCACTGTCCTAGACTAAAACCCCAATTGGTGTTTGCTAAGTGCACAGTCTTGGTGGAGACACCAGGAGTAGCTAATGTTCACCAGTGAAACGCCTTCTATTTCAACATTGTGCAGAAAATGCAAAATGTGTTGACGAACAAAACTATCTAAGCTGTAAGCACGAATAAGGGGAAAAGCACCCCAAATTTAACTGAGTCAGATGATTCTTCCTCCTAGCAGTCTCAGGAGGCTCCAGCTTCCTGACACCACTGGGGCTTTGTTCATTGTCCTGCCTGCCTGGAGTCCTTGCTTCCCTCCACCAGCCAAAGCCTCCCAGCCCCCAAGTCCTTCATCAGCAAAGCCCAGCAGCCTCTCTGCACCCCGCTCCCCAATCCCACACATTCCCTGGCTAGCTGTTCACTACCCTCTTCCCTATTTTCTTATTCCTTGAGGCTCTCCGCTTCGTCACAATGGATCTGACTGATATACTCAGTGTCAGCACCCATTTTCATCTGTGTTTGTTTATTCTGTGAAATTCTTAGTCATTCTCTCTTCTGATGTCGCTTCTCCACCATTTCACTTTTTTCTTTTTGTAGACCTCCTACTACAGTTGGAATCTTTTGATCTATCATGTATCCTTCCATTCTCTGATCTTTTCTGTCCATTTTTTCTCTGCTTTCTGGCTAAATTCCTCAGTCATGTTTTCCAGCTGATTCATTCTCTTTGTGATTGTGGCTGGTCTAGAATGCACATGAACTACTGAGTTTCTCAATAACGATTTTTCATTTTCAGGATTTCTAATTGGTTGTGTCCCATGTCCACCTATTCTCCACTCACATCTGCCTGCCTCTTCTCTATGGTCTTAGTCCTTCATTTATCCCGTGAAGGTTGTAAACATATTTCATTCACATTCATTTAAACATGTTCTACTGTTTGCATTTCAGTGGCAGTAAACTCACTTCCCAATTAACATTGTGAGCTTTCTTATTGCTAGTCTGATATTATTAGTCTAACATATACTTTTACTAGTAACTTGCAGGCTCCGCCTGAACACCAGTTGTATTCTCCGCCGCTCGGTCATTATTTCTGTGGAGAAATGCTGTGGGAGCCCTGCTGTCACCTGCAGGGAGACCAGCCAGTCCTGGTTCCGGCGGTGGTGCTGGCTCCGCTGCCCTCTGTGTTGGGTCCTTGTGACCCTGTGCAGCCTCATTTCTAGATGCTTCTGCTCCGCCCCCATCCCACTCACCATTGAATGTTTTTGTTTTGCTTTTGTCCAGTAGAGATATTTATTACGTTTTTGAATCTATGTCTTTTTAATTAGACATTTAAAGCATGTGTATTTGTGCTGATGGAAGTGGATGGGAGGTTTAAGAGTGAACTCCTGAGCGTTGATCTGAAGTCCCTGCGGTGACCTCCCTTCTGGGAGGCAAAGTCCCCGGCTGGGCTGGATCCAGCTGCAGTGTACAAGCTCGGGTGTGTGTGTGTGTGTGTGTGTGTCCACACACTTGCCCAAAATGAGGGGAAGCAGGATTGCTTAAAGAGGAGAAAATCTCCCTTGAAAGTTTGTGTGTCCTGCCAGTATACCTTAGCAGGCATAGAGGCCCAGGTCCCAGAAATCCTCAGGCTCCAGGACCAGGACATAGGACTGATGGATAACTGCGGCCCAGCAGGGTGAGCTCAGGGTCCGGACCCAGCTGTGAGGCAGGCAGGGGCGCTGGGCGCCAGCAGCACACCTGCAGGGCAGAGTGTGCTGTGAGGGAACAGGATGCCCCAGGCAAACTGAAGGCTGATCCCTATTAGAATAGGGGCTCCTGGCCATGCAGGGTTCCCCCCTCCCACAATCTTCAGAAGCTCCAGCTCTGCTCATCCCTCCCTTCTCTTCTCCTTTTTCAAATCCCTAATCCCTCTGGATGTTCTGGATCCCTCTCTTTGGGGGTCTATGGGGACAGGCCCCCAGCTTCCTGTGCTGCTGCTGGGAGCTGCATGTGCTCCCTGTCAGTGCCATGCCTCCCAAAAGGCACCTCTGTCCCAACCAAAGAGCTTCTGAATGGGGCGGATTGTAATTGCCTGAAAGAGCGATTGAGAGGGTGGACACTGAGGCATTGTGGGCCAGCAGGGAGAGGTGCTTGGGGACAGAGGTGCTGGCATCCTGGTGTGTAGGGGTGACCTATATCCTGTGTACAGGACTAAGGCAGGAGTAGAGTAGGGTGTCCTTATGGTCCTGCTCCAGCATTTCCCTGACTTGCCTCCAAATGAAGATACCCCACTTACAGTCTGGGTGCCCAGACAGGGTCAGAGGACTGAGGCTGGACACATACCATCTCGTGTCTACCGGTGACATCTCCAGGAGCCCCCTCCTCGCACCAGTCAGTCACCCAAACAATGATTATGTTTCATAAAATATGTCTGCTTAAAATTAGTTTCAAAATATTTTGGTAACTTGAAACCTTAAAATTATACTCCGTTAAGTTAAATGATGGATATTTGATAAATATTCAGATCACTTCTAGGTAAGATAAAATACTGAAACATTAATTTCTAAACATAAGTTTATCTGCTTTTGGCTTCTCATTACAGAGACTAAATGTGTTCTTCGGCCATATTGAAAACTCTAGTGCACCACTATTGGATCTCAGCCCTCTCACTGTCTGTGAGGTGGTGTGCTCTGCCTGTAAACTAGACTAGGTCCTGGAGTCTTCGAGCTTCCTCCAATGTCTGGCTACAACTCTCCACACTAATGTTACCAATCTCCTCTTGCCCCTTTCCCTGAAGCCCACACTGAAGCTGGGCAGCTGGATATAAACTCCAGAGGTGTCACTGCAACGGGTCACGGAGGGACAACAGCACACGGAGGCCCTCAGCAGTCACATTTGGTGCCCGCTGCTGTGAGGGCCACTCTGGACGTTCACTGGTCCACCCATAACATGCCAGAGTTATTGAACCCACAAACCAGGAAATTCATCAAAATCACCCTCACACCATTGTCTAAAGATGCTTCAAGCCCAACACCTAGAAATATTTGTTTTAAATTGATGGATTTGTTGTTCTACTCATTTATGCTGTTCTATTCATTTGTTGTTCTATTCATTGGTTGATTCTTGTATGCGCCCTGACCAGGACCAAACCAATCACCTTGGTGTATCGGGACGACATTCTAACCAACTGAACTACCCAGTGAGGGCTAGAAACCTTGACCGACTGTCCTCTAGACTAAAAAATGGAGTCTGAGGTTTGTTCTAATCATTAATGTTTATTTTTGCTTCCCTGGGAATGCTTCTTATTAAATGAAGCACAGGGAAATTAGTGGTTGCTCAGGGCTGGGGGCAGGGATGAAGAGCTAAGGGCACAGGGTTCCTTTCTGAGATGAAAATATCCTAAAATCAACCATGGTGATGGTTGCACACATCTGTGAATGGGGTAAAAGTGATGCAATCATACACTTAAAATGCAGATTCCTAGGCCCCATCCCAGACTAATGTTTGGGATTGGGGTGGGGGAGCAGAGTTCAGGGTTTAGTGAGAAAGGCACCAATTGTACCTACATGCATACGATTCTCTCACCCTTTGTATTCAGCAACTAGGGGTTCTGCCACGGTTTTACTAATAATATTGCTTTCTGTGTGAAGAAAAACGGAGCACAGACAAGTGTGCTGTGGTAGGTCCCAGTGCACCAGAGAACCTGCCTGGGCCTCGAGTCCACACTGGCTGCCACCATCCACCTAGCATGACTGTGTCCCAGCACTAGGAAACCACTTGAAAAGAATGCCACGTGTTTATAAGAACAGGTAGCCACCCAGAGTGCACCGTAAACCACCTCAACACGGCTCCTTTCCCAGAAGAGACAGTGGCACCTGAGAGCACTTCTAAGCAGCAGCAGCTCATGGACCTCATGCAGCACCTGCTCTGTTCGCCTGGCTCCTGCGTGTTACCCCCACTCTTTGGGCAAATACATGTCCAACACTCTGGTCCCTGCTCTCCGAACACCTGAGGGCTCACTCACCATTCTTCCCAGTTTGGGGTCCATTGGGCAGGATTTCCGAAGCCTCTCGCAGTTCCCTTGGACCTCAATGAAGAGCGGAAGAGGAAACCTCACCACGGCCCTCAGCAGTCACATTATATACCGCGTTGTAAATGCTTGTCTGTGCTCCACCATCTGCCCCAAAGAAAGACAAGGCTGGGATAGTGGGCCATTCACACTGGAAAACAAAGATGCTTCAGAGGCGATCAGCCAATCTGGGGGAGGAGAAACAATGAGTCTTATATGCACAGGCATGCAATGAGGTAGTGGCCTGGAAGTCATCTGATGTTACCGCAGGCCATCGGGGCCACTCAGGCTGTGCATCACAACCCAGAAGCATCACTGTGCATGTGTGGAGTGTCACCCTAAGAGTGAGTGGGTGCACGGGCCCAGGCCAGCACAGCTGAGATAGCGGTGATGTGAATGATCACTGTTACCTTGAGCAGTTGGCAGAGCCCTGCTAGCAGCTAGGTCGGGGTTACTGGCCATGTGTTGGGTTGCTCAGGCTGCCACAAGTGGGGCAGAAACCCTCTGTCTCACATTCTGGAGGCCAAAAGTCCCAAACCAGGGTGTCCTCAGGGCCTGTTCCTCTGAGGGCAGTGAGGGAGAGCCAGTCCCTGGGCTCCTTCCTGGCTCCTGGCAGTCACTGGCAATCCTGGGTTTGCTGTCTTCAAATACATCCCTGATTCCTGCCTTCATTTCACATGGCATCTCCCTATGAGCATATCTCTGTGCAAAACTCACCTTTCACAAGGACACCAGCCATCCTGGAGTTGGGCCCAGGCTACTCAGAATGGCTTCATTATGACTACACCTGCAAAGACCTATTTTCAAATCATCAGTCTGAGGTGGTGGGAGTTAGAACTTCAACATACAAATTTTGGGGGATATAATTCAACCCCAACAGGCTGTGAACTTCCAAATCCCCTAGCCTCTTATGATTTAACCAAGGAAGCAAGACATTTCCACAAGAACCAAAGGTTCATTCCCAGGATAGTCTAAGAGGGTAAAAGCCCGTTGCTGCTACAAGCAGTAACACAGGAAGGTTGAGATGGCAAAGGCCCCTATGGACTGGGATCCCTCATGACCACTTCCCCCTAGAGCTGGCGCAGTTGGACAAAAAGGCAAAAAGATGACAGTTAATTGGCTACAGCTGCCTGGAAGCTCTAGTCTAATGCCTGTGTATATGTGCACCTTCTGAGACCAGAGACCAAAGACAAGATCAAAACCAAGCTCTTAAAACAGAACAAGACAAATTGGCATAGACCAAGAAAACCAGACCATTCCAGGGGGAACAGGACCAGCAGAAAACAAGAGTATTCAAACCTTTACCGGAACCATGTTTGCTCAAGAAACTACTTTCACAAATTTTCTCCTGCTAATCCAAATTTAGAAAGAGGGGAAGAAAAGATTCTTATCCCTCTCGCTCCACGGACCCCACTTTTGGGGATTCCAGGGGTGCTGACACAGGAAGAACTCTTACTCACCATGTGCCGACCTATGTCAGATGCCCAGGGTCTCATCCGACAGTCCCAAAGTGACAGAAAAATTATTTTTCCTTTTACCCTTCTAAGTTCTTTGGGCTGGACTAAATGAGCATATATATTAGGTATGTCTGATGTCTCCTAAGAATGAGACCTGAGGATAAATCAGGCAGTTCAGGCTTGTGTGCCCTCTAGAGCTAAGGAGAAGAGGGTGGTGGTGGTGGTGGGGGTTGGGGGTGGAACTTCCAGGGGCAGGAAAGTAATTCACAAGGAGATGGAAGAGAAAACTTTGGTAAGTAAATGTTTGCTGGGCCATCTTGAACAAGGGAACACAGAGAGGACTTTGGTCAAGGGATTGCCAGATTCCTTCCTATCACACCTAGTTCATAGTGAACTGTAGTTGCCTATGATGCTAGTTCCCTTCCTGTCTAAATATTATAGGCAGGTAGGGGGAAGGTCAAAGGCAATTAGGGGGAAGGTAAAGATTCTTCCTGTGTCTTTTATTACTTGAAGATAACCAGCTTAAAATAACCAAGATTTCAAAAAAGACCTATTTCAGACTAATACTGCCTCCCTCACCACTCAGTGTTCCCCAAAGCCTCAGGTGGACGCAGATGTTACAATTTTCTCTGAAAAGTGATAAATGAAGTCCCATGCTATCTACTTTTTACTTTTCCTCAGTTTTCCTTGGGACAAATGTCATAGTATCATCCTGGTGTAACAGACTTAAAGGTTGACTCCCTAATATCTGTCTTTCTCCTGCACAGCGATAGGAATGTCAGCCAGGCCCATTGCCCACTTCTGGGAGCACTTTCCGAGTAAGATGCCAAAAGAAGAAACATCAGTTCATTCTGGATTGCCTGCTCCTGGTCTCTGGGTGGGACTACAGTGGGGTTGCAGGGTGCGGAGCAGAGGTCATGGGCCATGACACTGAGGGCAGGAGCACCCGCTCCAGCCCCGGCCTGGCTGTGAGGCCGTGTAGCAGAGAAATGGGGGAAGCTCTGGTTGGTTCGGACACTGTAGCCTAGCCATATCCTCACTAGTTAACACACTGTGGTTTAAGGATCCTCACATGCCTATCATCACCTTTCTGATCCAGACACCAAGAGCAGATGAACTTCTTTCTCTTAGGTCCGAAACCTCCTCTCAGCCCGTCCTCTCCTCGGCCCAGCAGTTCTGCCTTTTTCTAAATAACAGGCAGCTGTATCTTTGTCAATGCCAGCTCCTGGTGGAGTAACAGGGAAGCAATCCTGGACAACTTTGGGATAGACAATCCCAGGAAGGCACAGCACTTTGCTGATGAGCACCATCTCCCAGGATAAGCCTCCCTGAGGACAAGAAGGACGGCTGGTTAGGAAGATGAGAATGCACAACATAGGCTTCAAGACACCGTGGAGGTGACTCCAGGGCAGGGAAGGACCCGGGAGTGAAGGTGTCAGAGAGGGCATGGGGGCCAAAACAATTTTTTAAAAATATAAATATATATATATTTGTATTGACTTCAGAGAGGAGAGAGAAATATCAATGATGAGAGAGAATCATCGATCAGCTGCCTTCTGCATGCCCTCTACTGGGGACTGAGTCCGCAACACGAGCATGTGTCCTAATCAGGAATCGAACTATGACCTCCTGGTTCATGGGTCAATGTTCAATCATTGAGCCACACGGGCTGAGCTAAAGCAATGACTTCTAATGTCATCATTCTGTCCCATCAGTGTAGGCATGAGGGCTCAATAAATAGCAGCCCCGTTTCACATCCCAGTTCTGATCTGAGTGAAGATGGTCAGCAATGTGGACAAACTATAGACTTTGAAATGAATTAAGCCCTGTTTCCCGTTTACTCTGGGCTTTTTACCAGCTGGGCCAATAAACTTCCATTTGTTTAAACCAATCTCACTTGATTTTTGGTGTCTAGGCAGCAGAAGGCATGGGATGGGGATAGACCAGGGGTGGGCAAACTTTTTGACTCGAGGACCATAATGGGTTCTTAAACTGGACCGGAGGGCCGGAACAAAAGCATGGATGGAGTGTTTGTGTGAACTAATATAAATTCAAAGTAAACATCATTACATAAAAGGGTACGGTCTTTTTTTTCTTTTAGTTTTATTCATTTCAAACGGGCAGGATCCGGCCCGCGGGCCGTAGTTTGCCCACGGCTGGGATAGACACTTCCCTAACAGCTATGGAGGGGCCGTGAGTCTCCACTCCACCTGGGGACCTGGGAGAGAAGACCCACCCCAACCTGAAGCCCTCACAACACGCCACCCTCCACACGCAGGGTGCTCCTGGGTAAGTCAGGGGGCAGGGATGCTTCCAGAGGCTCCATTTGTACTTTTTATTCATCGGCACAGACAGACCACATGATCCTTCCAGTTAGGTTCAGGTTTGGAGGGTTAGCAAGAAGACAGGAGGGTTAAAGTGTTCAGTAAAGGACAGAACTGCAGGACAGCAAGGGACCAGAAAGGGAGGCCCTCACTCATCACACGCCCCACCTAGACACTCCGTGTGCATGACCCTGAATCAAAGGCAGAGGTGGGGCCAGGATCAGCAGGCCTCTGTTTAGTCTGACTAGATGTCAACCAGGACCTTCTACAGAAGAACTCTTGCTGTGAGTCCTGGAGACCAAGCCATGCTGGGCATCTCGGAGAATTCAGCTGACATTCGGGGTCACTGATACCCCAGGACTGAACATGTGTAACTGCCCGGTGTAGGCCATGTCATTCAGGAACAGGTTGGTGCTCCCATGTCCATTCCTGGATGTCTGTGTGTGGTGTGACAAGAGAGGAGGAAGACAGGCTGCTTCTGGAGCGATCAGAGAGGATGCAGGTGGAGGGCAGGTGCCTTCAGAGGTGCTCCAGGGACACGGGGCCTCTCAGTTCTTCAGCTGAGACACTTCATACAGGTACGCAGCCAACATTTTGGTTCCTTCTATGTAGTTGTGCCTGATGGAGAGGAACAAGTCATGGCGTTGGCTGGTGTCCCGTGGTCCAGGCATGCATGTGGCATTCTGGGAGCATCCCACCGTCCTGGTGTGCGGGACCTGAGTTCTGCTTGCCTTTAGAATTTGGGCACCTGGTTCTCAAATATAGGCTCAGCCCAAGTGTCCCGGCAGGGACCGGTCCTGGCCCTGGACTCATCGAATAGATGGGATCTCACCTAGCCCCCAACTACCAAAGGCCTTGCCTTGATCATGGCCCTCTGTTGTTTGTTTGGATCCGAAGCCACCACCTGGTGTCCTAGGACCTTGGTCTCTGTCCCTCCCTTCCACCCTCCATGCAGGGCCTCTGCCTCTTAGTCCCTGACCCCAAGACGACCCGTTTCCTATCCTCCTCTGCTCTTCCTGACTGCCTTGAGTCTCCCTGCCTTCGTGGGTCTCTCCTCACAGCTGCCAACTCAGAGATCAACTTCCGTCTCTGTTGGTTAAAGATCCCATCACGTCTGTATAAGCCAGGAAGGAGAAAAGTAGCTTATGGAGCCAGTAATGACATGAGGACTTCCAAACAGGAAGGTGCAGGGGTCCTTCAGGAGTCGCCGGGGAAGCACAGAGATCAACAGACCACTGGGTGAAACCTGTTCTGAAGAACTGCCACCTCCCACAGGCTTCCTTCCCTACCTCCCACCAGTGTTCCCTCCACCAAGGACAGATGGTAGAGAGCGCAGGGGGAAGGGGCTCCAGAAATCACCTCTTAGCAGCAGGAAAGGGGCAGGTGTGGAGGAGGAAGGGGTGCAGGGATGCCCTGGCTTTCACAGGATTCTCACTGGTACCCACAGGAAACTAACCAGACTCAGGACTGAGGATCCAGAGCCTCACCTGTTGAGTTTTTCGTTCTGGGAGTGGGCGCCATCATCAGCGGACCCCACAGGCAACAACATGACATTCTTGCCTGTGGCCTCCTGAAAAGTCAAAGTCACAGGAATACTGCCACCTTCCCTGGTTAAGTCCGGCTCAACACCAAAAACTGGAGGGAATGAAATAAAAGAAATAGTGAGCTTGGGGGCTGAGGCTCCCCGCATACCCACTACCTGCAGCACCAAGGTCAGACCCTGGGATAGCAGCCCCTCACAGCATCACTATTTAGCTACATGTCATATAACATGGCAGAGCCCTAGCAGACATGCTGAGGGCGCTGGCATTGTCCCCGGGAGAATGTCTGACCTGTTTTCAGGGCTCTTCTCCCAGCCATGTAATGAGGGTGGTTGAAGTCAGACACCCAGGGCTTCCCACCATGGCCCATGTACACCTTGAATTTGTTGGGGCTCTGCAGTTCAGCAAACTTCTTTGTCAAGTACTTTGTAACCTGAACCACAAACAGAAGAGACATAATGTATTATAAAGCTCTGCTCCTGACCCACGGCAGATCTACAGTGAGTCCACATGGCTTGTAAGTAACCTGTAGTAAGTCCACCAGGAGTCTACAGTGAATCCACACAGGTCTACAATGGATCTAGAGTGAGTCTACAGTGATTTACAATTAGCCTATGGTAAGTCCACCATGAGTCCACAGTGAGACTACAACAGGTCTACAATGGGTCTAGAGTGAGTCTACAGTGATTTACAATTAGCCTATGGTAAGTCCACCATGAGTCCACAGTGAGACTACAACAGGTCTACAATGGGTCTAGAGTGAGTCTACAGTGAATTTTCTGCTGCTAAATGCTGATCTGCATAACTGTGATAACAGAAAAGGGGATTTTTATCAAGAATCAAAAGCCAGTTATTTGCAGGTAAAAGGTAATGTTTTAATTCACCCTTTATGTAGATGTTCCCATATAATGATAATATTTAAACCAAGTTTTCAAAATTGTTCTTTGACTTGCTTTATAAAAAGACCACATCCAGACCAAAATAGAGCCAGGTGCCGACCCAGGGAGACGTCTTGATGACAAAATGCCAGTCCTCAGTGTCCTCTCCCCATAGGGAAGCCCTTAATTCTATCCTCCAAACCTTCCCATCTGGATGACTGCTCCCGGGAAGCCTGGCAGGCCTGCAGTGATCAGAATTTGCCCCTCGATATCTTCCCTGATAAGAGTCTTCCCCTCCGCTCCTCACCACGGCCCAGAGGGTGCTCCCTTGGACCCTCACCATAACATATTGGACCCAAAGTCAGCATCTGACCTGAAGTCAGAGATCAGGTTTGGGCATGCCTCAGCACTGACAAAGGTCACTTACACGTAATGCTTTTATGTGGCCTTTATCTTCGATCAGTTTCTGAACTGCTTATTCTAGTAATTACTGAGTGGGCCATAGCCAAGAGGTGGGGACATGTGGTTTTGGGTTTGTGTTTTTCAGTTGTTCGGAGGAAAACCTTTTGGCCCCTGAATCTTTGCCGGTGCACGACAGCCCCCTCCCTGAGTCCCACTGCCCCATGTACCTGCTCGCTGACAACCTCAGGAGTCATGTTGGGCACGAGCCTGATGGAGAACTTGCCAACCACTTTCCTAGGAATCACGGTCTTGGCCCCTGAGCCGGAGAAGGCACCTTCGATCCCGTGGAGGGAGAGGGATGGGAACCGCCATCTGTGCATTAGGACATCTTTCTGCAGAAAATGGCAGAGCAGTTCAGGGGGCAGCTTTCAGAGGAGACAGGAATGTCATTTGGGAGGTCCCTCTTAGTCACAGCCGGCCCTTTCCTGAGCACAGGAAGGAGGTGCAGACCCCGCAGGAGTTCAGTTAATGCTGGCTGACCTGAATGTGACTTATATCCCGACCTCATAAACCAGGAACTGAGTGGGCTCTACCAGCGAGGCCTTCCACCGTCTCTGGCCTGTCCTAGAGATCATCCTACACACGCAAACAGGCGAGAGCTACCGGCCTCTAGGTTTTCTCTGCATGTATTCCAGGGCCCACATCATCACCCGTCAATATTTGACATTTCTAACAACCTCTCAGCACCCAGCCTGGGAGTGGTCTGCACCTTTCGATGACTCAGGTGCCCACAGAAATGCCCAGATCTCTGCCAGCCCCTCTGCTCCTTCCCACGGGGCCCCTACAGTTGGGAGGCTTGGGGACAGACAGGTCTTGGTGTGGCCAAGGCAGCACCTTGCAGCCGTGCAGCAGGGTCTGCGCCCCCACATCCTTGGCATACTCCTCCAGGTCAAAGTCGATCTGGTCGTAGAGCTTCAGCTCCTCCTCTGTCACGGGCGCCACAGCCTCGTTGATGCCGGGGATGAGGATCTTCCCCTTCCTGTCCACCAAGCAGCCTGGAGGAGAAAGGGAACGGTGGGTGCTCAGCGCACAGGCTGCAGGGAGTCCTGGCACAAGAGCCCTGTGGTCACCTTTCCTGGGCACACGTGAGGGCTCGGATACTTGTGCTCATACGTCAGTTAACTACCGTAATAACCCAGTGAGGTGAGCAGTGCCATCTTCCCACTTTAAGACAAAGAGGCTTAGATACGAAGGGACAGGTGAGCTGTCCACGGTCACAGACCAGGACACACTGAGCAGAGGGACCCCAGACCTCCTCTAAAAACCAAGACACTCTCCAATATTGCCTTTTCAACATGGTTCCCACAAGAAAATAGCTGCTCCCAAGCTGAGAGGGAACTAGAGAGAGGGACAGAGTAGACTCCAGTCCCAGGAGCAACAGACTCCACAGATGGCAGCCACCATCCATCCGGGAAGGAAACAGCACAACAAACCATATGGTGAGGCCACAGGACGCCAGGGAGAGTGAGCTGGGGCCTCATCTCAAAGAGCCGACCACGCAGGAGCCCTCGCTGTGGCCAGTTACAATGTCAAACGGTCTGAAGCAGATGCTCTCTGAGAGACGTGACATACGTGTCCAGAGGAAGGACAGTTGTGGGAATCTAGGGGAAAGGCTAGACAGGGCCAGACAGGGCTGAAGGAGCCAAGGGTGCCCAGCTGGGTCCTAGAGGTGAGACAGGGTTTAGCTACACAGGGAGGTAAGGGTGTGAGGAAGAGGAAGGCAGAAACGAGGCATCCATACCCAATCTTTTAAAGGGAACAGTGAGCAGAGCAAGGGAGCCCCAGAGTTAACAGGGAAGTAGATCATGAAGAACGCTGGAATGCACCAAATGCTGATGACAGCCTGGAAAGAGCCCACCAGCTGGTCTCCCAAATCACCAAGTCGTGACTGAAACCCGGCTTACCCATCAGCGTAATGAGATCCGTCATGGCCTCGTGCACTGAGCCCCCGTACACCCCAGAGTGCAGGTCTTTGTCACTGCATTCCACCTGGAAGGAACAAAGACCACTCTATTAGGCTGCTTAGCAGGAGCTTATTTTTATCATGTGACAGTAAATTGAACCAAGAACATTCACAAGACCTGACAGGCAATTTTTAAAATCAAAATTTGTTCCCTCGATGAGCAAAGCAAGGCATTTCCTAAATTACAAAACTTGAAACGACAGAAAATACCCTTGGAAATGCCAACCAAAGGTAAACCAAAATATAATCATAGGTGAACTAGGAGTACTGAGCACAGGTGAGCTAGGAGTGCTGAGCACAGGTGAGCTAGGAGTGCTGAGCACAGGTGAGCTAGGAGTGCTGAGCACAGGTGAGCTAGGAGTGCTGAGCACAGGTGAGCTAGGAGTGCTGAGCACAGGTGAGCTAGGAGTGCTGAGCACAGGTGAGCTAGGAGTGCTGAGCACAGGTGAGCTAGGAGTGCTGAGCACAGGTGAGCTAGGAGTGCTGAGCACAGGTGAGCTAGGAGTGCTGAGCACAGGTGAGCTAGGAGTGCTGAGCACAGGTGAGCTAGGAGTGCTGAGCACAGGTGAGCTAGGAGTGCTGAGCACAGGTGAGCTAGGAGTGCTGAGCACAGGTGAGCTAGGAGTGCTGAGCACAGGTGAGCTAGGAGTGCTGAGCACAGGTGAGCTAGGAGTGCTGAGCACAGGTGAGCTAGGAGTGCTGAGCACAGGTGAGCTAGGAGTGCTGAGCACAGGTGAGCTAGGAGTGCTGAGCACAGGTGAGCTAGGAGTGCTGAGCACAGGTGAGCTAGGAGTGCTGAGCACAGGTGAGCTAGGAGTGCTGAGCACAGGTGAGCTAGCAGAACTGAGTAGGGCAACTCCCCTAGCTCTCAGAACCTTTTGCAGTGGTTTCAGGGATACCCTGCAAGAGCTACTAAAAGGGCAACAGCAACCAGGAAAAAGAGCCAGCAGGGACCTGGAGCCCAAGAACCTGGGGTCAGTCTCTGCCCCACCGTTGCCACGATGTGTAACCAGGATAAGGCAGTAACGGCCCTGGGCCTCTGCCTCCTCACCTGTAGCAGAGTAAGACTGCCCACCTCCCAGCTACTGTGTCCCCGTCGGTTATCACACAGCAGGTAGAAAGGTGCCTTGCACAGAGTGAGTGCTTAGTACAGCAACTATGATCGTTCCCGAAACTTTTGGCTACAGACCACCCTCACCTGCAGGAACTGATCAGTCACCTGTGCGGGAGGAACCCCCACCTTTCTGTGTAGAGGAGAAGGCCGAGGCTCAGCCACCAGCGAGTGGCACGTCAATCCTCCTGGGCTTCTATGTCGAGGGTAACATCCTGGTTCCCTCAAGATCACTCAGTCAAGGGATAAGAGCTTAGGGGCTAAAATATGAACACTGTCACTTCTGAAAGGAAGTCTTCCTAAAATGTTCTGCCTACGTTTCAGTCTTCCTACACGGACTAGCACTTCATCTTTTCTCAACTGCGCAGGACAATCCTGCAGAGAATACACCCTAGCTTGAAGGTGGATGACGCTGATTCTGATGGCACTGGGCATGGAGCACCACAGGGGAATCACCAAGGGGCATGGGGAACGTGGCCGATACCTCGATGAAAAAGTAGCAGATGCCCCTGAGGCCGTAGGTGATGCAGGGCTTCTTCTTCCCCAGCCAGTAGTTGTCAGAAATGCAGACATAGTCCACGTCTTTAAAGAAGGTGTCCTTCTGGGCAAAAATCAGTTCATCCAGGCCCTCGGAGCCCGACTCCTCCATGCCCTCCAGACAGAATCGGATGTTAACAGGGATTTCCTGTGATAGGAAAAGAGAGTCACAGGCATTCAGCTTTCACATACCTTTAGTTCTTAGAGACAACGTACAGGAAGTCACCAAATGTGAAATCACCAATTTCAAATGCCCAACTTCCTCCAGACCAAGCACTCTGGCAGGAGGTATACAGTCCTCAATGACCCTCAGTCCCCAGGTTCTGGGCTGTGTCAGGGGACAAGCCTGGCTGCAGCCACAGCTACATCCTCACTGAGAGCTCCTTGCCAGCAACTCCTCAGGTGACCACACTTCTGAGTCACAGGGATCTAGGTGCTCACCCAGCGCAGGTCAGGAGTCTCTCCATTAAGGCCTGAGCTGCTCTCTGAAGGCTGTACGCAAAGAAACCAGAGGAGTCTTCATTGGCACCCTTGTGGCCACCACCAGTGCCCTCGAGGGAGGGAAAGCCTCTTCCTAATTTAAAAGGTGCTCCTGCACTATGACCTCCTGCTTGCACTACAGTACTTTTTCTTAAAGAGAGGATGCTGCCGTCTGTCCATCCGACTCCTCTCTGTAGCGCTGTGCGGTGAGGCAGGTGGCCTTCCACACACGAGAAAATGAAGGCTGTGGCATGGCAGGGCCTCACTGGGTCTCAAGTTTGCACAATCCTATTCAGAACTGCCCTCGGGTGGCACTGCTCAGGCACACTTCCCCTCCTCTGGCCCTCAGATGGAATCCTTCTGGGGACCTTGGTATATGGAACAGGTAAGTGGAGCTGCTCTGGGTGGCTCTGCCCTGCACACGGTCACCCCTTCTCTCAGTTGCCCTCAGTCCCTGTGCCCAGCTTGTGGCAGCCATGAGAGCACTGCCATCCAGTGGTTCTGGGCCTCGGCTTTCTCCTGTGCACAATGGACCCCTGGGCCCTATTTGGATCTACCATTTCATGCTCTAACAAATATGCTTGTCTTACAATTCTAATTTTATCATGATACAAGAGAAAGGCAAGATGCAAAAACAATCTGTACACTTGATCACAATTAGGTTAAGACAGTTGAAAAGATTGGTAAGTACCAAAATATTAAGTCTCTTAGGGTTGAGATTCTAGGCAACATTTTCTCTCTACTTCTCTAAAGTTTACAAACTTTCAACAAGGAGTGGAGATTTCCCAGTTAAGGAAATATATTTCTAAAAATAAAATGTAATTTCAGGAAGCTGTAAACCATGCAGAGAAAGGGGTTTGTCCGCTACCACAGTCCAGGTGGGCGGGTCATTTGTGTGTGGCCTGGGTTCCTGCCGAGTCATCAATAGTGTGACCCTTGAACACCGTAAAACAATTACACCTGCAGCGTTTCCTGAAGCTGGAACACAACCTTTCATCTAAAATCTGAGTCACTGGGCTGACACTTTGTGGGGAGCCTGCTGTCTCACATCCTAGTGATCTTTGATCTTGAGAAGCCCGGCCTTGTTACGCTCAGATGGAACGGGGTGAACCAGGCTCAAGGAGGGTGACATACTTGACTTGTTTTCTGAAAGGCTTCCAGGGCATTCATCCAGCCGGCCACTGGCCCCTTGTCATCAGTTGAACCTCTCCCGTACAGTTTGCCTGGAACAGCAATCAGCAAATTCATAGCATTAACATGACAAGGAGACACATGGAGAGTGAACCCTCAGCAAACATCTGTTAACATCTCAGCGAAACCACATACGTCTGCCCTGAGAATTTCTCTTGACATTGGAAGCCCCAAGTCTCTACCCAGCACTATTGCTAAAATGATGGGAGAATTTGCCGTCATCGAAGGCAGCCACATGGATGCCTCCAAGTCCCTCTCCCGTCCCCCGCGGATGTGGCAGTTAGCCAGTGCTCACGATCCTGCTGACTCAGGGCACAAACTTCAGACCCAGGTCAGGAGCTTACTATCAGTGGGCCAGTGGTTAAAATCTTCTTCCATAACCAGCTGATATCAATAAGGGTGGAAAACCTGGGCAGAGGAGGGGAAGCACGATGCACCCTTATCAAGAGAATGACAAATCTCACCCCACCCCAATTTCACATCTAATCTGATGAAGAATGGGACTTATGCTTGTTCCTGATGTCTCCAGGTATCACTGAAATCTAACAGCACAATGCTGCTTCCCTCAGTGTGAGGAGTCAGTCCCTCCCCTCTGCCCCTCTGCTCCTGGGACTGCTCCTGGGGAAACAAGGCCTTCCCCTGGCTTGCTGTCATGTGACACAGAGCACCTGAGGCGACCAGGGCAGAGCACGGATGGCCATACCTGCCAGGGGCTCAGCTTCCCTCTGTCCTGGTCAGCTCTCTCACTTCCTCATTCCTAAGACTGTTTTTCAAATGTTTGGCAGTTTTAACATGACCCACCCCAAAGTAGTATAAGGCTTAAAGCAATCACTGCCCTGGGAATTTACTTTTAAATTGAGCCCAACTTTTCACAAAAGCTAAAGAGCTCTCCTAAAAGCATCATCGTTCCACGAGGAATGCTGACATGGTGACGGGGGTGTGCGGACCACGCTGCACAGAGGTGTACAAGACAAAGGCATGCATCCCCCGGGCTCCTCCCAGCGTCCTCGATGCCGTGTCTGCTGAGGGAACCTGTCTGGTGCGATCGGGAGGGGTGTGTTCTAAGCTGGTGCTGCAGGCTGGGGAGGAGTGATGAGGAAGACAACTCAGGGAGGTGGGGGAACCAGTGCTTCCAGAGAGTTGTCAAGTGGAGACTCAGCATGTGAGGGCTGCACTGCCTCAGTTCAGAACTGGGGAAGCCTCAATGACCCAAGGCCACAAACCCCCATTTCCACAGAACGGGAAGGCTTTCTCATGTTCCTGTCTAGTGTACATGTGTACACTTCTGGAAGCTGATTTCGACATTAGGTCACAAGTGCCTGTTCTGGGAGGATGGCCAAGGGAGCACCGGTGATTCTGCTGGTGAGAAGCAGCAGGATTTGAAGCACTCCTCTGCCAGCAGAGCATCCTTACCGTCTCGCTCCACCAGGGTGAAGGGCTCGCTGTCCCAGCCATCCTCCAGGGCTGCCGGCTGCACGTCCAGATGGCCGTAGATGCACACTGTCTTCTTCTGAGGGTCGGAGCCCAGCTTGCCAAGTAAAATGGGAGGAAGTGGTATCTCTGAGCCATCAGGGAGCTGCAAGAGGAGAGGGAAGCATGTGAAGACAGCCTTTGTTTAAAAACCTGGTGTTTATGGCAGATATTATTAAAATACCTTAAGTGTTCTTACCCTTCGCATCAACCTCCCTCTATTGTAGGGTTTAAGATCATATTGCTCAACTGAGTCATTTAATTAACAAGAAATTACTTTGCTATAACCCAGAGTACAAAGACTGAATTATGTTCACCAATTGCAGGCAATTTGGTAAATTTTTAAAGGCAGATTGTTTTTTTTAACTTTTATACAACAAAACATGTTATGAGAGGCGAGGTTGGGATGCAATTTAGTTCAGTATTTTCTAAATAATGGATAAAAACTACTATAATCTTAAAGCAGAAGATGGGTGTTTGAAAATCACATTAGTTCTGCACAGAAAGGGCTGTAGACCAGGATGCAGTGACTAAGTCACAGGAAAGTGCACAGTAGGCACTGGAGCAGGTCCTCCGAAAGGCTTCCTGGTCTCCAACGATCCTGTAAGAACGGGGCCAATGCATTAACCAGGATGCAAAGGCAGGCTCAGTGCTTTTCCTATGCCTACAACAGCTCAACTTTCCAGCCTATACTTAAAAATCTGGCCCTGCGCCCTGTAACAGCTCTCCCAGCTCTATTCCAACAGGGAAACCTGTTACCATTACAATTAACACCAGCAAAATGCGGGGGGTGGGGATGGGGAGGTTCAGAGAGGGTGAAAAGCACACATCCTTTTGTGTTGCTACTGGGTAAGGATTACTCATGCTAGAACCATCACAGACGTCTTGTTACTAGAAAATAGTCTTTGTGAAAATAAACGTTAATAAACTCACAGACTAAATTGGTAATGAAAATAAATTAACAATTTACAATCAAGAGATAAATGAGCAACTGGTAAAAAAATGACAAGCCTATCAGGATGAATGATAGGCTGATGAAAGTGTCTGCCCCAAGCTCCAGGGGCTCTGAGACCCCTAGGCATACCGTACATTCAGGAACGCACCAGGCTGCCGGGATTTTTACAGGTCCTCAGATTTGTCTTTCCAGTAAACTCCACTCATAAACACTCAATGTAAGTAACTCTCAGTAACTCCACAGGTCCCCCTGTGCAGCCCTCGCAAACTCGGCTGGACTGGAATCAGGAGGCCCAGGTTTTATCTCCACTGGGAACTGGTGTGGCTCCCAGTGGAGGCAAAGCCCGCCTGGGCCTCGGGTGCTTCCACTCATGAAAAGAAGAGACTGAGCTGAATGTCCACAGTAAACTCCAGGGACAATGACCTCAACTGACACACCATTGGGCAAGAAAACTGAGATTAAGCAAACCTCACCACACCCTGCAATAGAAAATGATACTGTGCCTTCGAAAATACATGGCATGAAACATGTGATTCACATGGAACTGAAATCATCGGAATGGCTTAGCGTGAGTGGACTGTTCACTTCAGTTAGAAAGAAACCAATTTCCTGTCAGAATCCAGCTCACACACAAAGTTCCTCTTTTTCAAGAAAAAGTGCTATTCCTCGCAGTCGGGATGCTGGAGACAGAGTGTGGGGACAGTGGGAGTCTTCGTGTTTTTACACTTACGTGGATAGAGTGTAGCTGCCTAGTTTGAAAGGAGACTGCTTTCTGGTGAATCTCAGTTATTTTCTAAGAACAGCTTCTATGCTAACTTACTATTGGGTAATAGCCCTCCACATTCTCAGAGAAATGCTGAGAATGACAAAAACCTGTGCCCCAGTCCAACTGAAGAAACCACACAGAGATTTATATCCAAATCAGGCCTTTCTTGTGAAAGACAAGCAGGGTGGGTATCTGAGGGTACGCTCATACCTTCTGTTTTCCAATATCCACCAGTTCCACGGAGCCGCCCAACTGCTTGATATCTGCAGCGGCCACTTCCATCATCTTCTTGATTTCCCCTCTCTTCTCGGGCCACGCAGATACACTCTGGATGGCCACCCATTCCGCAAGCTTCTGTTTGTGGACAATAAGCAAAAAGGGATTCTCAAAAGGTGCTCCTAAAGGGAGAAAGGCATCCATACTTTTGCCGTGTTTCAGGCACCCAACGTTGACCTGCTACCTGTGGCCACTCCATGTTGAGCATGTTGACCACACATGGAAAAACAGATCCATCAAAACCTACTTTTACTGACCCTGTAGCAAGAGCTATATAGCATAACAGAAACATGTCAGAATGCGTATTTTTAACAATTAAGCATGAGGTGAATATAAAATGAACAGAGTCCATCAATACCTTTATATCTGAATCTAACAAAATTACAACTGAGAGGTACAGAAACTACCCAAGGTTTTCAGTCCAGGTTAGCTTAGTTATCATCCTTATAATGGCAAGTTCTCTAAAGTATAAGTTTTAGAATGAGAACTCTAAAGATTTCATCTGAAATGTGTCTACCAAGAATAACTTTAAAGCATGATTCTTTGAATTAAACTCAAGTAACAGATTAATCTATAATGCTACTGAAGCATTGAAAACATCCTAAATGCAAAACAGGTCTTTAATCTACTACAAGAAATTATAGATGAAGATTAAACAAAAATCTCAATTAGCTCTGCCATTTCTAGAAACATATATTAAGACTTTCTGCCAAAGCCAAAATTATAATTTCTATAGTGTAATGAGGAGGTAAAGGAAAAGATCTCTAGACTTATATATACAGGGCGAGGCAAAAGTAGGTTTACAGTTATAAAGGAAATAGTTTATTCTCATATTATTATTGTATTATTTTTCATATATTTTTCATACACACACACACACATTTTTTTTTTTCTGTGAGAACACTTAAGAACTACTCTCTTAGCAGATTCAAGTTTACAACATAGTATTGTTAACTATGGTAACCACGCTGTACATTGGGCCTCCAGAACTCTTCTTATAACTGAAAGTGTGTGCCCTTTGCCTAAGATCAGGATCTCACCACTTCCCGTAGCCCCTGGCAACCACCGTTCTACTCCCTGCTTCTCTGAGTTCCTTGTTCAGATTGCACATAGAAATGAGATCATGCAGTGTTTGTCTGTCTTTAATACTTGATTTAAGCAGCATAACTCACATTAGTTCCCCTGAGCCCCAAAGGACTAAACTGGATTTTAAGTTTATTGGAATAAATAAATATTCCCTTACCTTGATGTAGCGATCCTGATTTTCATCGACATACTTAAACAGGGTAGCGAGGACCGACATCTTCCAGTCAAAGGGCAGGCCTGGGAGATTCTTGGAGGGAAGAGCAACCTGTTACTCCTGCCTCTGCACAGGGCCCGAATGAGGAAAAGTCGCTGACTGCTCAGGGTCATGAACTCCTACCCCACCTTCCTGGCCAGCAGTCAACACGAGGACTCCAGGAAGTGACCGCAGAGGCAGAAATGAAAGCTTTGGGATGCAGTGAGAGGCTCAGATTGATCTCCCATCTTTTTCAGAAGGAACATGTACCCAAAATGTGTCACAGTGGCAGATAAAGAAGGAAGGGCCTGAGCTGAAGACAATCTGATGAAAACTAAAAGTAGGTACTTTTCAGTAATGCTGACTTACCAGCATTTAAAATTTTAATTTAATTTTACTCTCCTGAAGCACATAGAGAACTTTCCACTTACTATGACCACAGAGGTAACCATCTCTTCAAGGATCCCAGAAAAATGTCACAGCCTACCTCTTACAGTCACAAGGGCACAACACAGCCAAAAGGCCCCAGGACAGGCTGATAAATTTAGTTTAAGGAAGTTGACAATCTGAGTCCAGAAACTGCTAAAGGCAACATGGGAAAGAAGGCCTGATTAGAATAAGCAGCTCCATCTACCTGCACCCCACCCCCTGTGCATTTTCTAACACCCAGTTTCCCATGTGTGAGACCCACCACATCCCATTCCACCCCACAAATGTTGGGGGGGGGGAGGGGTGGCAGAAATCCTCTGATGCATCACCTTTAAATCTGGAATGCATATGAAACAAAAATGATTCTGCTATATATTGGGACTTTCAAAATTGCTTGTCCCCTCCTTCAATGGACAATTTGAATCCCACCCAGTGGTTGGAAAGGGCTCAGCTATACCCCTGAGACAGGCAGTATTTCAGACCCGGAGCTGCCAACTCAGAAGATCCCACCACATCCAGGAGTGCTGATGCCTGGGCACCGGCACGCTGGTGAAAGAGCATGCTTTGTTTGGTATCAGATCCAAACTGATTTCTGGACAGGGGGGTGACTGCATCTGCTGTGACATGAAGCGTGAAGCGGCTCACCAACTGAGGAAGTTGCCAGAGCTGTTCTGTCGGAGTTCAGTGAGAACAGATCAAAGTGCTTATTTTCAGTGCCTCCTTCCTCCTCCTCAAATACCAGCCATAAATTATTACAAACCTCCCAGCCAACTCAGATGGCTTCCGCTAAGGCTCTCCTCTGAAAGAGCCCAGCAAGACAGTCCACGAATGCCGCCGGGGGATTTCATGGTCGTTAATAAAGTCACATTTTCATCCACCTGTCCCCAAAAATGTAAACAGGAGGCTGTCTATGACAGCATGCTGTGCTGGGCACTTTTATTTGGGTTCCTGGTCATCCAATACCACAAATCCCAAACTCACTGCGGTATGTTCTCTTTCATAGTACCTCTTTGCAGACAATGAACCCACGGCCTTCCAGTAGAGCCACTGGAAGACGGAACTACCTACACTGCACCCTTCACCAAAGGGGAGTCCACAGACCAGACTGCGACGCCAACCCTCCAGGGCGGGGCCAAAGCAGCACCTGAACTGCTCGTCCCTCCCACTCACTTTCTGAGTATTTCTTGTCCTCCCCTCCCCCACATGGACTGGGATCTGCCCACCGGAACCTGTTACGGTAAAAGCGCTGAGTTGGAGTGGACAAAAGCAAATATCCGTTCGAAATAAGTACCCTTTCACTCCCCTCTTGAAACCTGCAATTCCTGGGGAGTAACAAAATGTCACTAGTGAAACTAGTGGGCGCGGAAGGAGGAGTGATCCCGGGAGCCCCCGGGACCGTCTACAACACCTACAAATCCATCTTTGTCGCTATTAACTCGCGGCATACGTTACAATATATAAATACCCGAATCATGGCTTCGAGTCTGCAAAAAACCCTCCACTAAAACGGGCAGGAACCTCCAATTTTCCCAATCTGGAGCTTTCTCCCCAACAGTTTTACAAATTTTCTTTCCTCACTCCTCCATGCAAACACCAGGGAAGACAAAGGCATGAATGGAAGGTCCCCGTACAGGTGCGGGTGCTCCACGAGTTTACACCGACTCGGCTCCTGGATGACGCCCGGGACCCCATCTTGGCGGCCGAGGCGGACTGGTGGCCCTGTCTGCGAGACCCAGGCCTCAGGGACGTGGCGCCAGGGACCCGGGATCATCTCCATGTTACAGGTGAGGAAACTGAGGCTGAGGAACACCCGACCTGCTCAGACCCGCAAGCTGCAACCCCCGCCTTTAATGCTGGCGAGAGCTAGAGACCCCCGGCCCGGGGCCGGGCCAGGCAGCACCATCCAGAGCCTCCGCCAAAAGCTCTGCGGGCGAGAGAAAGGCTGCCGTTTGCTGCGAGCCTAGGGACGGAGGGTGCGCCCCTCCCCGCCCGCGGAGCCCCGATTCCGCGCCGGCCCTGTTTGAACGAGACACCCTGTTATCAGTCACCACCGACTACACAGACCTGGCGGTGGGCGCCGCCTCTCCAAACCCCAACCCGACTCGCTGCTCCCGGAGCCCTCGGTTCCGGCCTCGGCACCCATTCTGCATGCCTAGCGAGGCGCGACTCCCGGGGACCCGGGGACCACCCGCCCGCTAGGCCAGGGAA